GACTATTCTCATGTAGAATGCTATTAATCCTGTAGTCACTAATAACCAATTTGGTGGATGTGACTTTAAATTGTTAATAAAAAAAAAAACAATCACAACTTTTTACTGAAGTATAATTTTTGATCGTACAATATATCAATTAAATCTTCTAATAATATCTTTAAAATAAACTGTCACATGATTAATTTCATAATAATTGAACGAAGGTATTGCATTTTTGATCACACAAATTTTTTTTAGATAGGCTAACGTGAATATGTATAAGGATTGTTTAATTCGATTAAATGAATATGAAATATCGAGGCATAAGTAAATACAGTTATAATGAAATTATCTATTAATATCTGATATGTAATTTTACTATTGAGCATATAGTATAGATCCTAAACTAGAAAATTTGAATAAAATCGTTGAACGGCACTCCTCTTTAAAAAAACCAGAGCTCTTCGTTGTATAATGATCCGCAAAATAATATTTCTTGTCTTTATCTTTACATTTTATTTATGATCAGTGCCAATCAAATATACGTATTGCCTGTTGACTTTGAATTAAATCAATTCAAATATTATAAATATAATTATTAAATAACTATAATAGTTGCTTCTGATAATAGATAATTATAATGTTATTTGGAACGAAATAAATGACTTTTTATTAAATGTAAATCTGATCTTTATTTACGATTGATAGAAAGTTCTTCATTTCGTTCCAAATAGTAATTATTATGCATTTATGGTTTATAACATAAAAAGAAAGTGTCATATAACACTGTTACAATTTCATATGGTCTTTTAGAAAAAAAATATCCTCTTGCTCATTTTCAAATATTAGTTTTTATTTAAAGTAGTTTGGCTCTGTTTCAGACAAGATGAAAAGGAATCGGGATTGTAATTTGATGCATCTATAACTAATTATGTACGAGTGTATAAATATACTTTAAAAAATACGATCAAAAATATCATTCAATTTCTTTTTTTTTCTCATACTAATAAGTATGAGTCTTTGGAGTACTATGGGTAATTTTCTTCTGTAATAAATCAATTACTTATTCTATACCACTCTTTATCGATTAGTAACATTGACTATTTTCAATATGACTACCATGATAAAAAATTGCGCATAAATATTGAAAATTTTCCTTTGTATCGACGTATTTATTTGACTTTCAAATACTACTTGGATATGTTGAATTTTTTTCATTTTTAGGTTACAGTATTTAAAAACCCGCTCTGAATTAAATCTGAAAAGTGCGACTCGACATATTAATTCTATTTTATTACTTATTAAATTTACGCTATTGCCCGTTTTCATATTTAAATATGGATCTACTCGTTTTCGAACTTATAGAACGTCAAGATTATTATACAAGTATTCATTATATACAATTGAAAGATAATATTTTTCATTTGATTCGTCTATTTTCTCTCTTAAATATATTGACAATATATTAGAGGTTGCATGGTTACATTTGCATAACATGAATCACAAACTGAATTTATTAATCAATGAATATTCCAATTTTACACTAAACAATTACCAGTAGTTTGATTTACTTTTTGATAACATTGATTTTGACTCTGTACCGCTTTTGGTCATTTAACAATTTTTTTTATATTATTATGATTTATTTTAATTTTCTCTTCTGAATTTCCTAAGAGCTATAAAAAAAGAAATCATAAGAAGTAAAACATAATTACCTTTTTTAGATGTAGGGACACAAGATGAAATTGAAGATATGTTAGAATAATCCATGATGAATTAACAATTAAAATAATGCATTGTTATCGAAGTAACGTTTAGTAACGCAGATCCGAGAAAAAAATATTATGGCATAAAAATTTACATTTTCATTATTGTTATAGAAAATTCAAGGAATTGAATTTTCATTAAAAAAAATTTTTTTTAACATATACTTTTGATTTTATTTGAAATTCATTTTGAATTTCTAATAAAATCGATAAAAATGTAATAGATGAAAAATTTCAGAAAAAGAACGATTTAATTTATAAAATATTCAAACCAATAGTGGCAAAAAATATCACAAAACAAACATTTACGTTTCAAATGTTTTATAATAAAATCACACAAACGTAATCATACATAGATATCAGGCTTGATCAAAGAAACTGTAGTGAATTGATCATATTTCATGCAATTCGTCAAATATATAACTATTAAAATTAAAATAAATAAAAGTTACAGTTAAAAAATAATTTAGACGATAATAAAGACAAAAATGATTGGGAATTCACAAACGTAGAGGAGGACATTAACTATGCCAACGGGATAGCAGCGTTTTTTATCTGGCAGTGAGGAAAGTACGACTTTGTCGCGCGCTTGTGAGAAAAACTTGCGCCCAAATTGGTGCTTTCTACATCTGGTCTTGAATGGATACCGTAGCTAACATGTTTTCGAGAGAGCTTCTCGTCTCATGTGTCTTTCCAGCCTCGCTTGGCTCGGACGAAGCACGCTTGCTTTACCGAGTCTACTTAAAATCGAATCCTCGCGCTCGGCATGTCGAAAAATGCATCTTTTGTCACAAGAACTTTTGATTCTACCTGTTTCTTGACCGTTTCTCTTTCCGAAACTATAATGAAAGGCCTGCTGAGTATTATAGGAGATAGACCGTAAGCAGTTAAAGACAATTCTGTCTGCGAGGGTTCACTGGTTCACTCTGGTTATTTTCTGCCTAAACCTACCATCTATCTGTGTTGTATAGCATTTTGGAAGGGCTATTAATTATTGTCTTCACGGGCTCATATTTAAAATGGAAACGCCTGCCAGACTAAGTATATGATTCCGTCCGAGAATCTACGACGCTAAGCTATGTAGATTCCTCTTTTGAAGTCGCGATGTCTGTCCTGTAATAAGCACAGGTAGGCAGAAAACCATTGACGACGCCTGCAGATTAGAGTGGTTCAGCCGAGAGTACGACGGTAGCCGAAGCGTTATCCCCAACTTTCATTTTTGTAATGGCTTACGAACGTGTTTGCGACTGTTTCATTGTCATTTCGGAAAAGGTAAAGGAACACGAGAAATAAAAGTGTTTAAAACGAAAGATGTACGTTTTGAGTTACAACCGTTTATTAATAACTAACGTTTTCATTTTCACTAATTGTATTATCAAAGTACAATGTTATTACGAGTATTTTATAAAAGTCATATAAGCCTATATCTTTAACGGTTACCAAGATATATGTATTCAAGAAAGTCGATTTTTCAAAATTGTTAATAACTGCCGAAAGAATTATTATATTCTCTTGAAATTCGATATAGGTGATGGACTTTATGTAAGCGATGAAGGTGCAAAGTTTTACCAAGATCGATTACAATGCTGAAAATTCTCCGTTAATTCACGATTAAAAATGTATTAAAAAGTTCAATCATTGATAGTCTGAAACATACATATCAATTACTTTAATAGACTTTAATAATTTACACCTGAGCGAGGAGACGGCGAAAAACCATATAATGAGATGAGAATCTCTTAGACTTTCTACATAAAGAGCCATTATAGACGTCGGGCACCGGTCGTTAGACGTTGATCATGATGAATAAAGATAGTCAAATGTACTAATAATGTTAATATAGTAGATCTATATTTTTTATAATTCGCGCATCCTTCGTAATCACGTAATCTCGGTATACACGTCCGATTTCCGTTGTGCGACGTCCAATGTCCAGCTTATATGTAGAAAGCCTTACTGTTCGACACGCCGTGCGAAATTTGGAATCCTTCCCGAAAATGCAAGATACAGTTTCTTTCAACGCAACGATTTACAGGAAGGTCGTACGTACATTTCGGCGTGTTAAAATGGTACATTAGCTAACTAGCGCTGGAAAGTAGATTCTTGTCTGGTGCGAGATTTATAAGCTCAATGAGCGAAGCGACGAACAATTTGAGCGCCCATTTTATTCAACAAGCGTGCGGCAAACACACGGCATGTTGAAAAAGGAGATTATGACGACTAGAGTAATCCATGAATTAATCGACCGCTTTTTGAAATTTCTTTGTCATATAGCTGTGATTACGTAAAATATAATTTTCAAAAGTGAGCGTGCCATTGCTCGCAAGTGTCGTCTTGTGTAATCTAGATTACACGGTTTTCTAATCAAATTGGTCTTTTATTTTTATTATAAGTAAACATACTACAGAAAATTGAAGTCGATTAATAACATAAAATAAGCAGAGCGTTTGTAAAAGGGAATAGGCCTTTTCAAGAGCTATAAGTGTTATTTTTATTTAAGAATCCGTTTTAAAATTCATCGACCGATCATTAGATGCGACACAGTGAGCGATAATAGTGGACGCTGACAGGCCCTACGATGCTCGTCGGCCGCGCGTCGGCACTGCTACCAAACTTACCGACTTATCGGCGTCGTAGGGCCTGTCGCAGCGTCCATGCACTATTCTCGCTCACGGTGTCGCATCTAATGATCACTCGATGAATTTTAAAACGGATTCTTAAAGAAAAAATGACAAGGAATTCAATAAAAAAAGAATTTTTTAAATAAAAATAACACTTTTTGAGATATGGTCAGTTGTTTAAAAAAAATGTTAATAACTTTTGGAAAGATTGATATTAAAGTATTGTTTGCTTAATATCGTTAAAGTACACCCTTTTATGCGTAATATAAAAAAAATTCGTTTCGATAACTTCAATGGTTGCGGAGATATACATTTTTATTTAATTTTTATTTAATTGTTTATAACTTTAGATATAATTATTATAATGATCCATACTTAAATACACTACCATATAGGCAATATGTAAACCAAATTTCAAGAAAATCTGAAACCTACCCCTGAAAAGCTGATTGTCATAGTCTGGAATGTGCCATTTATCTGATTGACTATGCCAAGCAGTTCTTTAAAATTACACGAATGAGATCCGCAGACTCCGCAAATGATCGGAAACTTCATAGTTAACGTCACTTCCGTCAAGTGACTGCTGCATTCACACATGTCGAGCAATATATAGTTTTTACCAGTATTATACAGTATGTGCGCTATAATATAGTTCATGCAGTAAACAGATGTATGTATATGTACGTCCAACAAATGTACACTCATCGTAAATGTCACCCACACTTTTGTTAATTGAAATAGTGTTATGTGGTGATTGTTAAATTGCTGCGCGGCTTAATTTATGCCGTAAAGCTTTTAACTTCGACATGATTTGCCAAAATAAACGTAAAAATTCGTGACATGGTGTATTTTTATCAGCTTTTGCTATACAATTTTTGTTATATTTGTTAGAAATCAAAATCTTTTTATTTCATGAAAATTAGAGTTAGATGTGAGGAGCAATAATTGTTATATATAAGATGGGCTCAGTTATAAACATTCTATTTTCTCATTGTCGAAGTAATATTTATATGATAATTGGAATGTGCATTGGTCTTAGTATCAGTTTATTATTTGCTCCAATAGAAATTAATGATTGTTCTGATGTAGAAGAATCTTTGCCATATCCCGTAAGTAACAATGAACTTGTTGACGAGTATGAACCAAGGATAAATATTGCAGCAAAGCCACTAAAACCTCAAAAGGTCCCCAAAGTATTTGTACGTCCACGATACTATTCAACAGAGCTGGGAATTAGAGAAAAACTATTTGTTGGTGTGTTAACCAATCCAGAATATCTTTATAATAGAGCAGTTGCTATCAATAAAACTGTTGCACATTTGGTTAATAAAGTTCGCTATTTCATAACTATATCTGAAGGAACTAAGCCAAATATATCATTACCAGGCATTGTTGGTTTCACAGACACTAGATCAATTTTGCAACCATTCCATACTTTGAAATACATCACTGATAATTATTTGGAAGACTATGATTATTACTTTTTGATTAAAGATACTAGCTATATCAATGCTAGAAAATTAGTTAGTATAGTTAAAAAAATTAGTGTAAGTCAAGATGTTCATCTTGGAGTAACCAGTGATGATAATACCCATTGCTCTCTAGGTAAAAATATTTCAAATACTGTTAATTATCTTCTACATAACTCATTAGTTGCTTTTTTTTAATTCATATTCTATAAATTACACTAAAAAACTATATAAAATCAATTTTACTGTTTTTTCAGATGGTGGTATTTTGTTAAGTAATTCAATTATCAAACAATTAAAGAACAACTTAGACTGGTGCGTCAAATCTACCTTCTCTTCATCTGATGATGTGAACTTTGGACGTTGCATTGTACATTCTTCATCAATTTCATGTTCAAATCAAGCTCAAAAACAAGTATTTACTTCAACAAAGTTGAATGTTACTTTCAGCTATGAAAAAGATTTTGAAGAAGTATCCAATCAAGAAAATTTTAATAATTCAACTACAGTTTATCCAATATATGATCATTCATCAATTTATCAATTGAATGTATATTTTGCTAAAGTAAGTTTGAGTTTTTTTTGTAAGTTTATATTATTCTTAAACTTTAATATTAAATTTAATAACAAATTAATACTTAATAACAAATGAAACGAACAATATCATAAATAGGTTCATTTAGCGCAAGTGGAAAAGGAAATTGAAACTTTACGTAAAGAAATGGTGAAAACAGCTAAATTTACTCCTAAAGGTGAGGAAGACCTTAGCTGGCCTATTGGTAATCAACCACCATATAAAGCAACGAATCGTTTTGATGTCTTGAGATGGACTTATTTTAATATGACTCATGCTTTTCTTGATAATGATTTTAATACTGTCAGAGAGTTAGATGATGAAGAAAAAGAGGATATTGTTGAAATTTTAAATAAATCAATTGAAGATATTGTAAAGGATTCTAATGGATTGTTGAAATTTAAAAGTTTAGTTAATGGATATTGGAAGTTTGATGCATCTAGAGGTTTAGACTACATACTAGATCTTAGTTTTATATCTGAATCAGGAAAAGAAGTTGAAAAGCGGATAGAAATTTGTAAACCATTAGGAAAAGTTGAAATATTGCCTGTTCCATATGTAACAGAAAATTCAAGAATTAATATGATTTTGATAATTGATTCACAGAAGATAGAAGAAACCTTGAAATTTTTAGCATATTATGCAGATACATGCATGAATAAAAAGGATAAAATTATGCTTACTATGGTGATGACTATAATTTTTATTTGTATTGAAATTATTCCAATTTATTGAAATTAAAAATTAACAATTTATCTTTCATTTTTATTTTCAAGGTATTATTGTATAATCCTGGATATTTATCTAAAGGAAGTGAAGATATATTTTATAAAATAAAACAACGTGCCTTATTTTTAACGGAAAAATATAAAAAAGATCTGCTAAAAGTAACATGGCTATCTATTAGATTGCCTACTATTTATAGTTTTATAGAAATTGAACCTTTATTGAAGATAGCTATTGCTGACTTGTATGTTAAAAAATTCTCTTCTGACAATTTGATGCTCTTTGCTGATACTAGAATGGAATTGAAATCCGAGTTTCTCAATAGAGTTGGTATTCTTAATACACAAAAATAATGAAATTTTATTATAAATACTACTTCGTTTCAATTTCTATTACGTAGGTCAGAATGAATACTATCAGTCAGTGGCAAGTTTTTAGTCCAATACCATTTGTACAGTATCACCCAGACGTAATTCGATACAATGAAAATAAACACGTAGAATTTGATATTATTCAACAGCATGGACGTTACGACGAACACAACTACGACTTTGTTTCATTTTATACGAAAGATTATTTAACAGGTACAAGCACATATGAAATATCACACATTTCTTAAAAACTGATTTTTATTAAATCTGTATATTTAAAAATTTATAATTTGTACATTTCAGTGCGAAAATCTATCGAAAATCTAGTACCGTCAGTACGAACCGACAAAGACATCGCAAGTATTATAAAGTTATCACAAACGGTCTCCATTGGCTCAATTTTCGAAATGTTTGTTGCCTTCAGCAATTTTAATGCATTTCGCGCTGTCGAACCTGCTTTAAAGCTCAAATACAGAGATTTAAATTGTATTGGCACAAGGAATAACATCACTCTTGATACATGTATTAAGCAAAGAAATCTCCAACTGGGAACTCGTAGTCAGCTAACAAGATTGATCTTTGATTATAAAGAACGCCATTAAATGTATTTGTTGATCAATTGATTTTTCATCACGTCAAATTAAATTGCGAAAAGAAATAACGAATTTTCCCATTTCCTATTGAAATATTTGTAACAATATGAGCAGGATATCTACTGAAAATAGTTTATTGTATATATTCGTTAAGTTAGAAATATTTGAATTTTAATTAAACTTCTTAAAGATAATTATTTGTATATAACATGTGTGTATACATACAAATATACATACATTTCCGTGTACACACGTGTACGTATAAAACGTTTTGGAAAAGAATACGAAATATATTAATTAACTTATAAATTTATTAACAACTTCAGTAAAAGAAATAGTTTACTAAAGAGTTATATATACATAGTTTCATAATAGAACAATTTATTGCGAAATTGAAATATTATTCTATATACAAAACTTTACATTAAAATTAGCTGTAAAGAATGACTTAAAGGCACAAAAGTAATGACGAATTTCATAAACCGCTTCCTACTTAACATAAATTATTCAAGAAACACTTTTTATGCTTATTAAGTCTCTTGTTATTTTTATATTTTTTTTAGAAAACAAAGTGTATAAAAATACTTTTTTTAATTTTTTTGGGTTAAACTATTTTAAACAAATACCCAGCAAACAAATTATGAAAATGACAAGTTGGTAAGACCTTTCTTTTTTACCGGTTCAAAGATTTATCCTTCACGAAAACATAGCATATCAGTTTAAAATAACACTAGATTGTTGTAAAAGCCCTAGTATATCTTAGACTTTTAAGCGGTTATGCCATTTTTTTTCTTTGTATGACGACATTTTTGTAACAAGGAAGAAATAAAAATGTCGCTTTTTTCTTTACTACAATAAAAACTAAAGTACATAACGCGCAGTGTATTAAGACCTCGTTTGACCTTTCTTTTTACATTTTTTCTTTTTAGATCAAACAGATGACTGAATATTTTCATGAGAATATGAAAAAGCGTTATGGCTTACATCACTTGTTTCGAAAACATAAAGAGTGATCTAGACTGAACAAAATGAAATATCACTATACGAATGCTACAGAATAATAACATCTGAAACGAATTTTTCTTTTGCTCATTAATGCTGCGCAAAAACAAGATACTCCATTTTGAAAGAAACTTGTAAAGAAATCACGTTGATTTTACGGAAAAAATGAGAAAAAAAAATAAAATTGTTTTAAATTGGAACTAAAATTGGGTATCCTTTTTACAAGTCTTTCGGAATGTGTATCAATTCTTTTAATCACTGTCTGACCCTGATTCTGACAGCTGCAAGTCTTCACACAGTAAGTTATCTGGCATCGATAATGGTGGAGATGTTTTGGTTCCGTTTGCTACACATCCTGTAAATAAATATAAATTAAATACATGATTGAACACAAAACGCGCTTAGTTATTTTAATGAAGTATACGTAATAAATAAAATTACCATTAATTCTCATTGATTGTGGTTTACTTTCTGGTTCTGAGTCACTATCAGAACTATCAGAACTATCAGAACTACTACTGGAATCGCTTAAAATGCCTACTTCATTATCTAATGTGGAAACTTTCACAGTAGGTTTTTCACTAACAGGTGGAGAAACAGTTTTTGGAGGAGCTGGAGAAACTGTTCTTAAAGAAGCGGGAGATTGAGTTCTTGGAGGAGCTGATGAATGTGGAGGTTTAGATATCGTTGAAGTTGCAGCTGTTGAAGTAGTCATGTAGTCATCACGTCCAGTGATCAAAGGAAGGCTTGCCAACAATGGTTGCGTGGAAGTATGTGTGGCTGAAGTACTGAAACATTTATAATATAAGTCAACGAAACTGCGAATAAACCAATGAAATTATTCAAACTTTTCAAGAATAAAATGCATACCTCATAGAATTATAATTAGGTGGTGTAATTGTTGATGGTGAACTTTTTGTATGATAAGAGGCACGTTGAGGATTAATCTTAGGACGCAATTGATGACTTGGCTCCCTTTTCTTACCGCTAGTCACTTTAGTTCTACTTTTTGTTCTTCCATTTGATGGACTTTTACCTGGTTCTATCGGAGTGATAGGTCTGAGCGAACTGGGAACTGCCAATGTAGATGGAGGTTTGGTTTCGGATCTATTGTAGAAACAAAAAGAAAAGTCGAAAAGGTCATTAATGAACTTGAACGTACATTGATATTGATACTCAAAGTAGACCCATGGACATAAACAGCTAAGTGGGCAATGATTACCTTGTTTTTTTCACTTGTATATTAGCAGAAAGTTTTTCCAAAGTGACTTCTCCTGTAACCCTATCAATAATCAGGACACATTCCTTATGGTAGGGTCTTTGCGAACCTTTGAATACTGTGTGTGTTGTACCAGCTCCATCCAAATGTGGCACTGTTACTGTCATCGTATTACTCTCTCCGACATCGAGCGTAGCCATTTTCGTAGTATCCACGCTAGCGGGCTTGAAATCATCTGCGCGTTGAGAAAAAGACGAAAGGTGAAAATTACAGGAACTTGGAGAAAATCAAGCTGCAAGTGAAAAGACATAGTCGCGACAGCTGTTGGTGTGGTGGACTTACATTTTAAGGTATGAAAAGCGGTGGATCTGTCACCGGTGAAGGTGGTGCCGAGCTTGAGCTCTCGCGGCCCGAACCCAATACCGAGCTTCTCAGCCATCGAGCGAGCTAAACCGTTGGCAGTTGATTCGAGATGCTGCTGAGCCTGATGCTGTTGCTGCTTCTGATGCTGGTAGTGGTGGTGTTGTGGCTGGCGTGACACGGACTTCATGAATGGATGGTGCTTGAGCCGGGGTATTGTGGCTCGGCAATGAGCCCTGTACGCTGTTGGTCGTGGTCTCGTCACTAGAAGCACGGCTGAGCCGGGCTTTTTACATGTTATCAGTAACAGCTGTTCCAGTTTTCCCAGCTAGCAGACGGTTTCATCACACACTCTCTCGTGGCTGACTGCCTGCTCACTCCACGCACTCACACACGATTAGGCCTACACACACGCGCGCGCGATTACACCCAGCCTGGCAAAGTGGCAAGCAAGAGAGCCACACGGATACACCGACAGCTGCGGGCTGTACGCTGTTGCTTCGCTGCTACTGAGCGCTGAGCTCAGCCAGTCTGCAGGCTCTTGCTATGCGCACGCACGCATACACACGCAGCCAAACAAGTACAGCACCCGTGCAGTCTTCAAGAGCAAAGGAGATAGACGGATATATAGATGAACTGTTGTATGGATATGTATTATTTACTGTGTGGGTCAGGGCCACACGAATGTACGAAAGATCTCTCAAACGTGTTTCCTTTTGAGATCGAGTGGCTGGACTGACTGCCAGTAACTACGATTGTGGTTCAACCGATATTATATCCCGTTGACCCGATTTGTCTAGAAACTTGCAGCACTGCACTCCTCTCTAAGTACGTGCGCGAATTGGACCAAGTCTCCGTCTGTCTCTTTCTCTTACTCCCACTCTCCCTCTTCGTCGTCCAATCGTACTGTTGCTGTCTTTCCCTCTCTTCACGAGCAGTACCGCCGTACGCTATAGTTTGTAGCAGGCAGGATTGCTTCGTTCTGCTGCTGCCGTAATACCGAACTCTGGCGGACATGGACCCCCACCCGGATTTGCAAAAGTTCGCATTCGTTCGGATATACTCGTTCTACTAGAAAGAGACCGACTGTATGGTGAGAGAGAGTGAGAGAGAGAGAAACAGACAGACAGAGAGAGAGGCAGACAGAAAGAGAGAGGGAGGGAGGGAGAGAGAGAGACGGAGCGAAAAAAGAGCCACGACTAAAGAGAAAAAAATCATACAACACGGCCACCACGCGTGTGACCTTCGGAAAGGCGCGCAATCCAAGCTTTTATGAACTTTAGGCTGCTATGGCCATCAAGTAATATTCACTTTCTCATTTTAACGAGCATATATCTCCCTTACTTATTTTATACGTTAATATATGTTTAACCACTTTCTTGTCAATTCAAAGCAATCGGTTTCATTTCGATTGGCTACGTGCGCGCAGGTTTCATTTTTTCGAACGCTTTATGGTTTGTTTCTCTCTTTCGTGCGATTAACCGACTTTCGAATGAATTTTTGATTGACTCGATTTCTCCGAATTAAAGTACAAGGTATGTAATTTTTTAATTAAAAAAAGTTCTACAAGTGATCTTTGATAGATTTTGGAGATAATTTGATCAGTTCAGTTTTAGAGCATATCATACAATATAGATTGATTCATTGATTTTGTAAAATAGGTATTCAAATCTAAGAAATGTTGATAGATAATATAATTGTGCAGAACCTCATGTATTGCTGAAATAACTTTCATAACATTATCATTTTCTGTAAAGTCAGTATAGAAAAGAATACAATGAATACAGACGAGGACGAAAGAATAAATGATTTATTGATTGAGAAAATTGACGAAATTACTGGTTGTGAAATGAAAAAAGTAGGAATTCAAAGGGTAATAAATTTATTTAAATGTTTATTGTATCATTGAATGAAACGTACTTATTGTAATGAAAATCTACACAGATGGAAAATGAGCTAACTATTAAAAAATTAGATCGAGAATATGCAGAAATTAAGAGAAATTTAATTTATTCTAAGAAAATGCTAGATGAAGCACGTAAGAATAGCGCTACACAATCTGAAACAAAGAGTCAACTTTTACATGCCAATAAAGCTATAATAGAAAAGTACATTATTAAATTATATTTTTACCATGAAATATTGAACGCCTGATTTGTATACCTTTTTACGATTAATTTTTACATGTTTATAATTTAAGATTTAATGAATTGAAGAAATATCAAAATGAAATCACATTATTTAACATGTTTAAAGTGGAGAAATCACTTCAAGATTGTATGGATAGAAACAGTGAATGTATAAGAATACTTCATCTTATATTAGACAAGGATAATTATTTCGATATACTTAACAAAAATCTTCTTGATAAAGAAAATCAATTAAATGAAGATAGTAAATTAAAACTTTTTTCTTAAGGAATGTACACCAATTTTGCGTATGAATATAATATAACATATGGCATATTGATTTATTTCAGTTCAAAAACAAATCGACCAAAAGAGGGAAACTGTTCGTAATGACGAAGAGACTCTATCAATTTTGACAAAGAAAGTAGAAGAACAAAAAATACAAATTGATGGAGAGAAAATTGACAATCGAATTAAGCACGCTGTCGAAGAGCGAAATAAGAGGTAACATAAGTCGAACGGTTATTTATATGGATGATGTTGATGTGATCAAAATGAAAATGTTTTTTACATAGAATCATTCAATTACAAGCGAACGAAGATACATTATGTAAACAATTTAAACAGGAAATAGATGATTTGCAACAAAAGAAATTCAATAAGATTCAGGTAAATTATATTTCTAGCAGGATGTATTATACTGGGATGATATTGATATTTTTATGATATTATCTGATAATGATATTTATCTAGAATCTAGAGACTCATATAAATGACATGAAAACTTTAGAAAATAATTTAATGGATTTACAATCACAGTTTTCGGAAACAGAGTACGTATTTGCGGGATTCAACGAAGAAATTGTTTTTTAAATATATAATACTTTAACATTATTTTCATAGAAAAAATGTGATGCTACAAAATGAGAGTCTTCAAAATATTCTAATACAAATTAAGGACATTTCTAGTGAAGTAAGTTCTAAGTGATATTATAGTCTACGTATTGTTTAGATTATACGTTATAAACTCAATAAACCTTACAGATACAAAAAAGTCATGAAATTAATAATCAATCTAATGAATTTTATGAAAATAATTTTACAAGCTTACATAGTGAATTTGCTCTAGTAAATTCTGAATTGCAAAGAGAGCAACTTGCTTTTGATGAAATGGAAAATAATATGCAAGACGAAATGAAAAAACTATTTACTCAACTTGAAGAAAAAAAGAACTTGCAAAATACGTTGGAAAAACGTCAAAGTGATTTATTGACAATGAAAGAAAAACAAACAGAACAACAAAAATTATTGTCCCAAAATTGTGAATTAGATAAAAAATTAGCTAATTTGACAGAGGAATACGAAAAGCAGCTTTCAATTGCATCAATCAATACAAATAAACAGATTGAGCTAAATACAAAAATTAAGGAATTACGTGAAAAAAGAGATAATGCCAGAAAACAGTTAGAAAGTTTAAGTAAACATAAGAATCAGGCAAATAAAGCTATGAATAATTCAAGTGACAGTATTTTAAATAGCGCTGCAGAAAATACGATGGTAACATTGTTAGATACTTTATCCAATGTATAATGATATTTATAGTTGAAAAAAAGTAATATATGTTTCTTAGTCATCTCAGCAAACAACTCCTCAGAGAAAATTGTACGATACAGTACATCGTACAACGCAATATAATAATAGTGAGATTGAAAATAATGTTGTAAGTTCTCAAACCCCCAAAAAGGTAAATATCTATTATAAAACGCGTTCGATAAACATTTAATCCAAAGATTTAATTATATCTTATTTTTACAGACTCCACAATATTTAGACAATTCTAATAAATCATTTAAATTTAATCTAGATTCTTCTGATGAGTCTGATGATGAATTCAAAACAATTAATAAAACTCCAAAAAAGGTGTGTTAAGAATTATTAAATATCTTTTAATTTTGATAATGAAAAATCTAGACATTTTTCTATATATAGACGCATGTATCCTCTACGACGCCTATCTATAAAACACAAGATTACACATGCGGTGGTAATGATAAAAATACTGAGAATCCTGCAGTGAGTATTTTGATAAGAAATTTATAACTATCTCAAAAATTTTGTTAAATTATATTAAATCTAAACATAGATCTCATTTAGATCTCTGTGTTTTTTTTACATTTATATGTTCAGAGATATCGAAAGATATTCATACTTCGTCTAGTAATTTATTCCTAAATAATAAAGCGAAGTACGATCGACTCATTAGAATTGACAATACATAATATTTCTAAAAGAAAATTGATCAATAATTTTATCTGAGAAAAATAAACAGTCGCTATGCAATGTTGCTTTGGAAATAAATAATTTTTGTCGATTTCATCAACAAGTAGATCTTACTTCGCTTTATTATCTGACAACCAATTATTAGCTGAAGTATGAAAGTTCTCCGTTTTAAGAGAAAATTAATATGCCCCAAAGAAAAAGTCGGTAAAACAGAGGTACTGTAACCCTTGTACTCTTAACTATATATTCAATTATATTAATTATATCCATAACTATATAACCCTATTATATAACCCTTAACTATATATTATCTTATATCCCTTTAACTTCCTTGATTTCAGAGTGAAAATTTGTCTCAAAGCGAAAGATTATTTGACGAGCTAATAGCTTCTCAAAAACCTGAAGAATCGTCGACAAAAAAAAAAGATGAAGCATGTTTCATATTTAACATTAATATACTTTAATTCTTAGATATCTCATAATTATGATTTTTTATTTTACAGGATGTATTCAAAATACCAGCAACACACACACTTATGAAAAAGAGAAACGCACAATCCAAAAAGTATTAAGTAGAAAATATTTTTATAATAATAATTTCAGTATTAGATTGTAATTTAATTATTTATTATTATTAATAGTAAATTTAGGTTAACTATAATCAACTATGCAAACAACTGATATTAAAAATAAACCTTTCTCTTTTAGTCGTTCTTTAAATAAATACTTTTTAATTTTTAAACATACATTAATTTTCTTAATAATTGTAAAACCATAAACTATCAAAGTTTTAATGTTATTATAAAAATGAATTGAAAGTTCACTGTTGTTATAAACAGACGGTTAAATCAGAAGAGGTTCCGTTGGATTCCTTGAACTTTAGTCATCGCAGATTACAATGAATAAAGCCAGTATTATTATGTTCAGTATGAGAGATGACGAGTGCTCCGCCTACCTCGGCAGACCCCGTCACTGCAGAGTGACACTTCGTAAAATTAACTAAATTTGCTGTAGATAATATATTAATGTAGTAAATTTTGTCAGGATTAACAGTAATTGCAGATCAAACGAGACTAATGGCGACAGAACATAGGTTTTTAGATCGGCGCCACAGACGTAGCATTCGTTCGCTATCATCCCTTACTCAAGCTTATTATTATACCTACAGTACTGGCTGTATTCATTATAATGTTGATTCTTACAGATAAAAATTCAAGGAATCAAACGGAAAAAATATTTAAAAAATAAAACATACCTTCTCGAAGTATAACTATCTGTTTCTAACGACAGTTAATAACTTTTTGAATGTTGTTAAAAAGATCCTTTTGCATCGATACTTCATCTGATCACGGTTTTACGATAATTAAAAAATGATGTTAATGTACCTTTAAGGTTCCTCCACTGGTATCTATAGCACATCCAGTTATAGAAAATTTGTTTCAAATATATACATATAATAACGCGGAAACAATGATAATATAATCTGACACTTCTCAGACCCAGAGACCTGACCAGGTATTTCCGAAGGAATTTGTGGTGTGCTGAATCCTAATCCGAGTTCAGAATTACTTCATTATCCTTTTGCGAGATATCTTAACCTAAGAGCGTTAAAAATACGATTTTTTGCTATTTTCTAACACCTATAATTTTGTAAAAAAATATTTTTCTACAAATTTGATGACGGTATTTTAAAGAAGAACTCTTGCTCTTCAAAATGTACTTTTCTTTTTTTTTCAATATTATTTTTTCCGATTGAGATATATCTCAGTCGGAATATCTCAATCATATATGATACATTGAAGAATGATACATTGACATATTTTCGCAAACGTCGTTTAAACAGAGGAAAGTTTTGCTGAAAGATGATATTCGCTGAAAGATAAAATAATATTCCAAATACCTTAAATAAAGAATCCTTTACCCTGCTGGATGATAACCTCCGACCACTACATCCCAATACCCTTAAATCACTTATACCTGTACCCTGCTATACTTATCGCTATTATCTTTCAGCAAAACTTTCCTCTGCTTAATCTTTGTAAAAATGCAAATTTATCATATTTCAAAATATCATATCTCTGCCAGAAAATATTATTTTGAAAAAAATGAGAAGTACTTTTCAAAGAGGTAGCGTTGCTCTTTAAGATGCCGTCATCAAATTTGCAAAAAATTTTGTCACAAAGTTACAGAGGTTGGAAAATAGTAAAAAAAAACGTGTTTTTGACGTTTTGAGGTTAGGATATTTAAGAAACTAAGGGTGATTGAGCAATACTGAGCTGAGCTCGGATTTGGATTCAGCGCAAATCCTTTCGGAAATATCCTATCTAGCCTCTGAGTCCGTATTCTTTTCAAATTTTATCGGCATTTGCAATTCGATAAAAAAACTGGTAATTTTTATATTGTACGTACGCATTGACTAAAATGTAGCTCGTTTAAAACCAAGAAACCGATTATTTTTATATAAATTTTAAGAATTTGTTCATTAATACATCACTAACCAGTTAGTTCGATTAATTGTAAGTGGGTATTAATTAATATTAATTACTTGATTGTGAAAGGTTCAAATATAAATTATCGAATCGATTGCTTTTTTCTGCGTTATTATACATACTCAAGGTGAATTAAGACAGGAATAATCTCTACATCTTGGTATAATGTTATATGTAAACATGTAGAGATGCCTTAACAGTTAAGCCAGAAATTAATCTTTGAAAATTTTTCGTCAAAATTTTGTAATAATTGAATATAACTATTAGTCTACTTATCATAATATAGCCTAAAAATTTATATTTTAGTTTACTTAAATATATGTTTTTTTTATATACATTTATACTGAATTTCCGCCTTGTATAAGTACCAACTTGCAGAAAGAAAAACTTCTACACTCACATGACCTGCGTACGTCCCATAGCGCACAGTGGTTCCACGATAATAATATATGACGATAATTCAATAACGAGGTTATATCGTTTAAATTATTAATAGAAATAATAAAAAATATATTTACAAATAGGTATTAATAATCGAATTGTTAATTAAGATGCTAGAATAGAAAGTAGGATTTCGATACTATACAGGTAAATGAATAGAAACTGTCATTACTATTTTATGTAATTTTAATTTGGCTCATATATAAACGTAATTTTACGTATTTTTAAAATCAGCGTTTTTCATTCATGTTATTATTAACTTTTAATATTACGTATATATTATATAATGTATATTAGTAGTCTTAAATTGTTTCAATGGAAATTCATTGGTCTCTTAGAATACAAAAAATTTCAGAGCTTGAATTATACTGCAATAAGCATAATATTCCAGTTATAATTATATAAATTCACTCAAATCTTATCTATGAAATCTTAACAAGTCAATGAACTGAATTATTTTGTATAAAATCACTGAAAGTTCAAGCTATTATTTAAATAATTTTTAGGTATTGGAAAGCCAAGGAAAAATGACATCAGCTTTAAAAGCATCACAACTTAAAAAAAGTTCCACTAAGGTAGCAAAAATATGTACAGGTCTAGGTATCACAGTATCCATTGGCTCATTTTTGGCTGATTATTTGCCACATACTTTTTTTATTGATAGGTATAAAACAGCCCTTCAAATGCTTAGGTAAAAGAATAAAATTCATGTAATATGTTATACTTCAATACAACTTATTAAATGAATATTTTCAGAGTTGGACAAGAAGTTCCGCTAGACAGTAATTTGAAAGAATTATTTCATTCAGTTTTAGACGATTTAAAATTGAGTAATGAAGACAAGGAAAAATTTGAACCCTTTACAATTGGTGGTTTTGAAGTATATCATGCAGGAATACCTTCAGGAAAATTTCATGCAATTATTGGCTTACCTATTAATTTCACATATCAAGATGTACAATCCATTGATTCATTAGATATTCGTATAGGTCTGAACAGAGACTCACTAAATATTTACCATCCTGCAGCACAAGATTTACTTGAATCATTAGTGCTTTCTGATAAAGCAAAAAAATTTGCAATAGCTAGAGAAGTATTGATGGCTCAAAACAATGTACCAATTTATCGTTCAATTGAATCACCTATAATATTCACTGCATCAGTAATGTCAGCTGAGTTTCTAAGAGTAAAAATGAACTTATCAAATAAGCCTTTACCATTAACAATTTTGACTTTTGGTGTATCAGCTGTTATGGGAATAATGACCTGGTTTCAAATAAGAGATGCTATTAATACTTATTATGAAAAACAAGTAGACAAAGAATTAGCAAAATATGGTCAAGATTATATCTACGGAGGAAGAGAATATTACAACAAAATTTTGAAAAGAAATATTGCCCTTAGAACATTATTAGGAGCATATGGAGCTAAAGTATACAAAAAAGATGGCGATGAAGTTATTACCATTCGTCAAAAAAGAACCCCTGTCTCACATAGAAGAAAATTCTTTGATGATTACACGTTCACTGATAATACACAAGAGGTTATTTAGTGATTTTTTTCATGTTACTATTTTATAATAAAAAAACAATGGCTTTATAGTAAAATGTTATTTATTTATAATTAATACGAAATAAAACAATAGTTATAATTACATTAATATATACAGTTTCCATCTATAATGTTATTCATACAAAAAAAATTAGAAAAAGTCTTCCAACTAATTATTATTAGTGATTTTCATAAATTTTTAAATGTATTTCCAATATAATTGAAATAATATTGTAAAAATTTACAAATATTTTACCAACTTTAAGTTTTGTGTTCACCAATAATCTAACTCTTGAGTTAAAACAAATAGTATGTAACATGGTGACATAACTCTTACAACATATAAATTTTTTCAAAATTATATATTAACATGATACTATGTGACACAATATTTTAATTGATAACTTTACATTTTGAACACTATATTTTTAATAGAATTTATTTTAATCATCAAATAAGTAATTCACTTTTTCCCACTTTTAAAATCCAACGTTTTTAATCAACAGTCTAAAATATATTTAAGGGACATGATATTTAAGGGCATTTTGCAGCATTGGCCCATCAGCTAAATATTGAAGCACTCGTTTTTGGATAAGTTAATTACAATTTCAATATAAATGCAAATAAATTAACAATGTTACGACAAACCCAATGATCCTAGCTGTAATAAAATAAGATTTTTGTTATTTCCAATATGTTGTATCTTTTCTAATGGAAAAAAAATTTTTGTACCAGTGACAGCTTGTCTTCTTCTTTTTTCAAAATTTTCGCTGTCTGATCTTGGTCAAACTTGACAACAGCGGCAATAACTTTGGCAAGCACCATGGTTTCCTTCCCCATCATATACTTATAAAGTATATTTCTAAGATATTCGATTTCAGTTGAATCTTCTACAGAATCCTGCCTCATCTTCACCAATTTCCGCAACTCGGCTAACTCCCGTTTATGCGATAATAAAGTCTGTTGTAAAGCATGAAAAGAACTAGTATTAGACTGTACTGTTGCCATTGCGACTTTTGCAGTGCTTTCTAATTCCTGTAAAAACATAGAAACATAAATTTTATAAACTGATTTATAAATTCACTTGACACAAGTATGATGATTGAATTGAAAGCTTATAAATAGTAAATATTCAATAATTTACATTAATTGTATTTATAATAAATAGTTAATTTACTGTGAAGTATAATTTCTATAAAATATATTGGTCTAATTCAAATAAAAATTTTGACCCTACTATGAAATTCAAGTTCACATAAAGTATAAAATCAATTATTTTTTTAGATTTGACTTTAATGAAGTCAATTTATTATTTTATACAAGCTTGGTATTTTTATGGAATGAGGACGTTTCTTTCAATTACAATATATTAATATTAAATTGAAGCTCTTATTCCATAGAACGTTTCATGTGTAGAAAAAAGTATAAACTAATATAAGTCCAATAGACAGGAAAGCATTGTTATTGACAAAATTTAATCTCTAACAGATAGCAAATAATGTTGAAGCATACTTGATACAAAATAAAAACATAATCACCTCATCTACTTCGTCGCTATCATAATTCTGTAAACATAAATAAAAGTAAAAATACATTAACACAATGACATTTCACATAAAAAAAAACAAAAAAATAAAAATAACGTTTACAATTTGTATCATGTCTGTACTGGATAATCTTGGAGATACGCGTTAATTTCAAAACATAAACTAAAAATTAACGTGCAAAAACACAAATATAACCACTATTTGATGTCTTGATATGTCTTAAAAAAAATCATTAGTGTAAAAAATGAATGTAAACTAAATTGATCATCTAGTGTAGACACAGTGGTTGTAATAAGTATCGTCGTACCTTTCGTTCATTTTGCCATTCATTATTTAAATCGTTAATGTTCTGTTCATATTGATTTTCTAATTGACTTGTCTTTTGTTTCACCATTTCTCTCCATTTGTTATCTAGCTCCTGCATCTCTTCTAAATGATCAGATTTTATTTCATTTATTTTTAATAACAGTTTTTCTATTTCTTCTTGAGTTTGTTTTTTCATATCTTGATTATCTTGCATTAATCTTTCGATTTCTTGGGATTTCCTTGTGAGTTCTACCTGGAAATCTCTCAATTGTTCTTTGTATTCAAGAATGGCATCTGACTCATAATTTTGTTGGTAGTCTGAAAAAGAATATAAAATTTATTGCACGAATGTTTGCATGAATATGAAGTATACGCATATTCATGCCTTACCAAATCTTTTCTCAAGAGCTGCTTGTAATTCTTTTTCCTTATCATGAAGTTGAGCTTGAAATTCTTTGACGATTTGCTTTAGCCTTAGATTTTGCTCTTCTTCATTAACTTTAAGTTGTTCTTGTAACTTTGCCGCTTGATTGTGTAATTCCTCATTCAAAGCTTGCATTTGTGATTCTTTGGCCTGAAACGTTACAAGAGTTTCATCCAATTGTGATTCTAATTTCCTTTTTTCTTGCAATGCATTTTCAATATTTTTTGACGATTCTTCATTTTCGCATTTCATCTGATCAATAATCTTCAGTTCCTCTTCTAACTTTGAATGATGTTCATGTAAAGTTTTAAACTCAGATTCTTTAGTCGACAGTTGTCGATTCAGTTCATTTACAGTCTCCATAAGTCTTGCTATTTCTTGATTTGCATCTTCTAGATTTGACTTTAATGAAGTCAATATATTATTTTCATCTATAAGCTTCGCATTTCGTTCTTTTAGCTTTTGCAATTCATTGTTTTTCTCATCTAACTGAGTTTTCCAATTTTCTATAGCATTCTGTAATCTGCTGCAGGATAATTTCATCTCTTCAAATGAAGCCAAAGAATTTTCCAAGTCTGTAACTTTACTTTTATAAATCAGCAAATCCTTTTCTAAATTTTCATATTTTATTTTGCATTCTTGTAGTTCTAAAATATGCAGTTTCAAACCCTCCATCTCCACATTTAATGATTCATTTATTCTAGTAATCTCTTTAATTTCAGCGGTTAATTTGGAATTTTTCTGTTTAAAATCATCTGAATTATTGAGCAAATTTTTTAACTGAGCATTTTTTAAGTTTTCTAAATTTATTAATTGAGTTTTGAGATCTGCAATTTCAGAATTACTAGTTTCTAATTGATTTTTATACATCTCAAGTCCATTTAGAGTAGAATTATTTTGCATCTCAATTAATTCGTTCTGTTTTTCTAAATAGCTTAATTTTTCATTTGTGTCATGTTGGGATTGACTAAGCATTTCATTAACTTTCAATAAATCATTTTGATTGTCTTTTATATTAGTATAGTCAATAATTAAAAGCTCATACTTTTTTTTTAGTTCATTGAATTCGAAAGCTGTTTCTAATTTTACTTTTCTAAGTTGTTCTAATTCATCCAAATTTCCTTTTAGTTCATTTAATTCATTGATCAATTTTGAATGAGTCTTTTTCAACTGTTCATTTTCTTCAGTTTTTAATCGAAGAGATTGGCTAAATTCATTCTCAACATTTTTCAAATTGATTTTTTCTTGTTCTAATTCTGTTAACAGATTATTTTTTTCTTCTGACAATTTTAGTAACTTCTCTTTAAAGACTTTCAAATTTTGAACCAAATTAGTTTTGTTATCAAGTGCTTTTTGTAAAGAATCTTTAGATTCATCTATTTCAGTATTTAATTTATTGTTATCCTCTTTTGAAATATTCAATTCATCTTTCAATCGAAATATTGTTTGGTTGTGTTCTTCAATCAATTTTTTATAATTATCACACTCATTTGTTATATCAGATAAGTGCTGCTTCTCTTCAAAATATGTAGCTTTCAGGCTTTCAAATTCTTTATTTCGCGTTCCTAATTCTTCATTTAGAGAAGTAACTTGAGTTTTGAGAATTTGAGCGTCATCCACGAGCTTACTATAGTTATGATTTTCAGATTTCAACGTATGTATTACGTTTGTAGCTTCTTTATACTTTTGAGACAAGTTATTGTATTGATCATTCAAAGTTTTATAATCAGAAAGTTGAATAGATAATGCGTGCAGGTTTGTCTCCAACTTCTGTTTTTCAAGAGTTATAGTTTTCAAAACATCTTCCTTTTCAATTTCGACTTTATGTAGCAATTGTTCACGTTCATCGCACAACTTTTCAAGCTCCATCAATTTTTTGGACAAATTTTCGATTTCGGAAGTTAATTTATTTTTATCTACTTCTTGTTGACCTAAATTGCTTATCGTTTGTCTCAATTCATCAATTTGATTGTTTCTTTCATTTAGTTCTTTCTCAATAGCCAACTTTTTGTTTACAAGTTCTTCTACTTGTGCATTTTTGTCATTACAATGACTTTGAAGTTCTTGTGTAATCTTTGTTTTCTCCTTTAAATCATCAATTTGTGATTTAAGATTTGCATTCTCTTGATTTAGACTTAAAAATACTGAAGTGTACTTATTAACAGTTTCTACTATTGCACTTTTTCCTTCTAAAATATAACTATTTACATTTTCTTTCAGTAGAGCATAATCTTGTTTTATATTTTTTACAGTTTCTTTGTATGCTCTAAATTGCTTAAGTAAATTTTTCCTTATAGTTATTAAATTATTTATTTCTTTTTTCAAATCGTTTATTGTTGTTGAACGTGATTTGAGTTCACTATTAAGTCCCAAGAGCTCAGTATTCTTATTATCAAGTTCATCTTGTAATCGAAGTACTATTTCTTCATTGTCAGCTTTGCTTCTTAAAATCTTATTTTCTTCATCTCGTATTTGTATTTCATTTTTTATTTGTTCTATGGCTTCTGAATATTCTTGCATTCTTGCATTTAATTTATCACAAGTCTCATTTTTATCTATTAATTTCTGCTTAATTTCGTCTAATTCTTTCTGATGATTATCATTCAAAATTCTATCACGATTTTCTGAAGACAATTTGAAATTTTCCAAAGCTTGATTTGTGTTAGATAGTTCTTTTTCTAAGTTTATATTTTGTATTTGTAAATTTTTAAACATTTCTTTTGACTGGTGCAGTTCCTTTTCTAATTGTAAATTTTGTGTTTTTAATTCTTCTAAACATTTTTCGTAGCTTTCTCTCTTTAAATTAATTTCTATCAGAAGATTGTCTTTTTCTTGCAAATCTTGATTCAATTTCTGTATTATTTCCGTTTCATGTCTGATTTCATTGGATTGTTTTTCTAACTCTTCTAATTGTGCTTGGAGTTGCTTATTTTTATCTACTTCTTCATAATATTTTGAATTCATTTTTCTTTCTATTTCCATCAATTTCCGTTGCATTTCATCTTGATTAGCAACAGTTTTAATTTTTTCAATGTCCTGTTTTTGAATTTCGATAGTTTCTTTTAGAGACTTTTCCAGATCAAATGCCAGTTTCAAATCAGATTGAAGTTGTTTAATTTGTTCTTCTTTAACTTCAAGTTCTCTATGAATAGATAATTTATTTTCTGCAAGTGAAATGACTGATTCTTCTTCGCGTTTTTTAAGTAAATCTATTTCATCTTTATAGTTTTCAAGTTGTTTTCTTGCATTCTGCATTTCGCATTCCATTTCAAATAGTTTATCTTTTGTTGATTTTTGTAACAAATCATAATCTCTCTCTGCAGTATTTTTTTCATTTGATACTTCCAATATTTTATCTTTACTTCGCTTTAACATTTCTTTATATTTTTCAAGGAAAGTTTCCATTTTTTGCATTTTTTCTTTCAACTTATTATTTTCTAGTATTAGTTTATCTTCTTCACTTTCTTCAACTTTTTCTGTGTTATTTGACAAGTCAACCAAAATATTGTCATTGCTATTTTCATGATGATTTTCTGATTCATCAAGATTTTCTGATATTTCCAAGTTTGGACCTTTTTCTTGTATTAACTTTATCTGTCACAAAATTAGTACCTTAAAAAAATATCAAATTTTAAAGTAGACAAAGGCACTATAAAAATTAAAAACCAAAATGATAGAAGTTATCATGTAATCTGTGAAATATTTGTAAAATAAATTATTGCATAATAATTTTTATGAAATAAAATGGAATAGATAAACTCAAAATAATTACAATTTTATAAGTGCCAAAGTCTTTGGAACATATTATTAAATAACTTACTTTTGTTTTTAAAGAACTAATAATGTGATCTTTCTCCTCAAGATCGTTTCGTAAGGCATCTTCCAAATGAGCTTTTGCTTGTTGCTCTAGTTGACATTGTTCTTTGAGGTCGCTTATTCGTCTTAAAGCTTTATCTTGTGTTTCAACCAAGAGACTTTCTAATTTTGTTTTTGCACGGTCCATTTCTTTGTAATGACTGACAAGGTCAGTGAATCTTCCTCTGTACTTATCATATTTACCTCTTGCTTTACGATATGCAGAATACAATTGTTCTTTTGATACCCGATCTAATTGTGGACTTATATTATCATCTATTTCACTGGCAGACTGATCAATGTCAGACTGAAATTATGTATATAAAATTTTTATTTGTCAGTAATGATACTTTAAGTGTATTTTTTAATATTATTTTTATTACCTGCAAATGATATATATTTCCAGGACTTTCATAAATAGGAAATAAAAAGGATGCCTCACTGACATTACTGCTAATAGATGACCTTCTTGAACTACTTGAATTAACCGATGGAGAAGTCAAGTCAACTGTTTGGAAGCCATGTTTTCCTGGACTATTTTTTGGTGTTTCTAAAAGTAAGATCAAACATTATATGCAATTATCAAAAAAGATAAAAGTATTTTTTATACACTACCATTATTTTTATTTTTCTTAAATTTAAACATTGTTAATAAAAGAAGTTAAATTAGAAAAATTAATAATATTGCTCATAAAACTCCAATAAGCTTAGTTTATCTATTAGAACAAGACTAGCTTATCTTAAAGAATTCAAATAAAGAAAAAATGGGTGGGGATTTACCATCTGTTTCCTCAGTCAAACTGAAATTATCTTTGGATGACAAGTCTTGAATTGAGGTACTTGATAGTGATGGAGAAACAACTGCCTGTAAAAAACAAATACACGTTTTTCTGATGACAAACTGAAATAATTAGTGTTCCACAACATAAAAAATATATATATGAACCTGAGCCAATTGCTGCATACTTGCTTGCAGCCTTGCAGGAGATTGTTTCATCTCCTCTGCTAATTTATCCTTAAATTTTTTAAACATTGTTGTGAATTATCCAGGAAGTAATTGGAATGAACCTTGAATGTATGAATGTAAAGAATAACTTGTCTAAAAAATTTTTCGAAATATTTCTTGATAACAACTTGTCATTTTTTATTCATAAAATTTAAATGATTTTCTTTAATGTATCATCGCTAACGTTATATTATAAAATTGTAACTTTTCCAAAATGCATTGTGGATGTTTAATCGACTGATTTTTAAGTGCTTTGAATTTACTTTATATCGAAATGTCAACTGTGACTACCACGAATTACGACGTTAATAGTTGGAGGTTATAATCAACGTCACTAAAAATAAGTTAGTCGTCGTTTTCATGAGCGCATCCTAAAATGCATCTTTTCTTGTAAACTGTATCAACTAATAAAATACAAAATGAAAATAAATTTCATGGTATAGCAGCAAATTAAATATATATTGATTTTTCTATTAGTTTTAATTAATTTATCAAAACTTATAATAAAATATTTGACGAAAACTTTTAATATAAAAAATATTATTTTGAACAATGTATTAGGCCCTCGCCACATAACACGCGTACACCCAACGTGAATTGAATCGCGACCCCCCCAGTTAAGTTGGTATGAGAATTCCGTCGTTGCATCGGAACGAAAAAACCGTGGGAATATTCAAAAATGAAAATTTGTTTTAAGATACGATAAAAAGCTAAAACGTTACTAATTTGTTTTTAGGTTTAAAATTAATTGTTTGCGAACAATGAATTTAGATGCATGATTATTTGATTTTAGGTTTTAATTATATAATTTAAGAACAAGCGTTATACTATGGCCGATCTGAAAACCACCGTTACGGACTGAAAGTAGCACTCTACCAACCTAACTGGGGGGGGGGGGGGGGGTCGCGATTCAATTCACGTTGGGTGTACAAATCGCTAAAAATTTTGATAATGCCAACAACAGAAAGTTACTACTATTCCTCGCATGCCCCAAACGAACACTTACTCCCGGAACAAACGTATCACAACCTTCAATAATATAGCGTTATGATACGTTTGTTGCGGGAGTAAATGTGTTCGTTTGGGGCATGCGAGGAATAGTAGTAACTTTCTGTTGTTGGCATTATCAAAATTTTTAGCGATTTGTACGCGTTTGTACGCCCTTGTGGCCTTGTGGTTTGTACGCGCGCATATGCGCATATGTGGGCGAGGGCCTCAATCTTTACTTTACTTTACTTCTTTTTTACTTTACCAGATGGCGGTAGGTCTCTGAATGAGACGCCTTATTGGCCAATATGCAGCGTAAAAGACGCGTTAATTTAATATTGCGCATGCGTCTGCTATTTTGCTGTAGGTTAGAGCTTGGTCGAAGGTCTGGTTCATGATTGGAATCGGCGTTTTTCTTTGCAATGGTAAAAATATATCTTCTTTGAAAACTTATAAATTTCAAAAGTTTAACAATTGATTTTATTATTTTGTATAATTATAATGCATGAATCATCATAATTACCAACTTTTTTTACAAATTTTTGTTTTGTTAGTTTTTAGCTTAAAATTGTGATGAAGGTTAGGTGTCTATATTATTTTTATTTTTCTGTTCAATTAACACTCCAACTAATTTCTGTGAGAGTTAAAATAAATTTATTTCCAAATAAAACACTAAAATAATGTATAATAATTATATTATTGTTCATAGTCTAATACTTGCTTTTAAATAATAGGCTTCCACTGATGGGACCCTACCAGCAACAGTTCCTGGGTTTCCTCCTGCCCCACCTGCTTTTGTACCACCAATGATACCTGCAACTCCTTTTATACCACCTCCAAGTATGCCTCCACCTCCTGGAATGATGCCACCACAGTTTTCTATTCCACCACCTGGATTTGGTTTTCCAATTGCTGGTCCTGCAGATGCTAGTGTTATTGGTAAATAATTTATTATTAAACATTTTAATCTGCTTCAAGTTTGTTGCTATTATTGAATTTACTAAGCAATATATGTAGCACTATATAGTTTCTCTTTATCAATTTTATAGCTACTGGCATGCCACCCCCAGCACCTGCTGCTGCTGATATAAATTTATTAGCAGAAAAGAAGTCTGATTGGTCTGAGCACAAAGCTCCTGATGGTAGAACATATTATTATAATAGTGTGACTAAACAGTCACTTTGGGAAAAACCAGATGAATTGAAAACTCCAAGTGAATTGCTCTTATCTCAGTGTCCATGGAAAGAGTACAAATCTGAAAATGGTAAAGTGTACTACCATAATGTGAATACAAAAGAGTCAAGGTGGGTTATTCCACCTGAATTGGAGGAGTTAAAGACTAAAATAGCTGCTGAGGAGGCTGCTGCGGCTGCTGCAGCTGCCGTTGCAAGTGCTACAAATACGTGAGTAAAATTTTATTACAGAAATATAGATTTTACTTCAACGAATTTGTTCTAAAAGTCACAACTATTTATTTTAAAATTCTAATAAAATTATGTTTTTCATAGAGGTGGTGTTCCATTGCATCATTTATCACCAAGTTTGACTGCTTTATCACAAACAAGCACTCCAGAACCTGGGGGTAAATCTGCTATAGAACAAGCTATGGCAGCAACTTTAGCAGCTATAAATTTACCTACTCCACCTGCTAAACCTGATGAAGACAATAATTCTACTAAGGGTTCAGCTAGTGGTAGTAGGAATAGCACTCCTGAGCCTAAAATGCAATTTAAAGATAAAAAAGAAGCAATAGAGGCTTTCAAAGAGTTACTAAGGGAAAGAGATGTTCCTTCAAATGCAACATGGGAGCAAGCAGTAAAAATGATTCAAAATGATCCTCGATATCCTCAAATGAAAAAATTGAATGAGAGAAAGCAAGCTTTCAATGCATATAAAACGCAAAAATTAAAAGAGGAAAGAGAACAAGAGAGATTACGGTAACTATTTATTTAATTTTATCTTTGATTATTTGAATAATTGATTTTACTACTACTAATTTTTTCAACAAACACTGTTTTAGTTTAAAGAAAGCAAAAGAGGATTTGGAACAATTTTTATTGGAAAATGAGAGGATGACAAGTACAACGAAATACTACAAATGTGAAGAAATATATGGGAACTTAGAAATTTGGCGAGCAGTTGGAGACACCGATCGTCGTGATATATATGAAGACGTAATTTTCAATTTAGCTAAACGGGAGAAAGAAGAAGCTAAACAATTGAAAAAGAGAAATATGAAACGATTAGCTCAAGTTTTAGATATGATGGCGGAAGTTACCTACAAAACTACGTGGCAAGAAGCTCAAGCTTTGCTTTTGCAGCAGTCAGATTTTGCAGAAGATGCTGATCTACTTCAAATGGACAAGGAAGATGCTTTATTAGTTTTTGAAAATCACATTCGTCAATTAGAAAAGGATGAGGAAGAAGAAAAAGAGCGAGAAAAGAAACGTAGGAAACGACAAGAAAGAAAAAATAGAGACGGATTCATTGTAAGTAAAAAAAATACTTTGGTTTTTCTAGACAACTATGTATGTGTATTTAAAATATTTTGTTTAATTACAGAGTTTACTTGATGAACTCCATGAACAAGGAAAATTAACATCGATGTCCTTGTGGGTAGAATTATATCCAATGTTATCAGCAGATCTTAGGTTTTCAGCGATGCTTGGTCAGCCAGGTTCAACGCCTCTAGATCTTTTCAAATTTTACGTTGAAGATTTGAAATCGAGATTCCACGATGAAAAGAAAATCATACGTGAAATTTTAAAAGAGAAAAACTTTGAAGTTCAGATTGACACTACCTTCGAAGAGTTTGCTACTGTTGTTTGCGAAGATAGAAAGTCTGCTACTTTGGACGCGGGTAACGTCAAGTTGACTTATAATTTATTACTAGAAAAAGCGGAAGCCCGAGAAAAAGAGCGTGTGAAAGAGGAAACACGCAAGTTCAAGAAATTAGAGACTGCTTTTAAAAATTTACTAAAAACTATTGAGGTTAATCATCAAATGACATGGGAAGAAATTAGAACTAAAATCGAAGAAGAGCCTGATTTTAAAGCTGTGCCTTTAGAGAGTGAAAGACTTAGAATCTTCAAAGAGTATCAACATGAACTCGAAGAAAGTTGTAGCCATCATCATATTAGAAGTAAGAAGAAGAAAAATAAAAAACCAAAACGACGATCACGATCGCGATCCCACAGCGTAAGTAGTCAATTATCTAATCAAAATATCAAATCAAAATACAGCAATTTTAGTTATGTATTAATTTATAAATTTCTTTTGCAGGAATCTGAAGGAAGTGAAAAGGGTTTGAAAAAGAAAAAACATAGATCTAGATCTGCTAGTGGTGGTAGTAAATCAGACAGTTCAGAGTCGGACGTGAGAAAGATTAAAAAGAAGAAAAACAAGAAAAAGAGAGGCAGAAGTCGTTCCGTAAGTAAAATAAAAGAAAGTTAATCTTCAAACCCTCAATAAGAAAACTGATTCTCAATAAACAAATACAGAGATCTCCCTCCAATATCCCATCTTCTGAAGATTCCCCCGAAAGAAGGAGAAAAGAAGAAAAATTACGGCGACTGTCTGTTCAAAGTGAAGGTTCTGAAAATGTTCATCAAGAATTGTCTGAAGACGAGCTAGAAAAACAAAGAGCACAATTACTCCGAGAGCTTCAAATGCAGCAAGAAGAAAACTAATATTATCACTTTAATGCTGTCTTTTGACAAACTAGAGTACCTATTTTATGGAAACGCGACAAACTATATTTTTCATAATGATCGTTTAAAGAACAACAGTTTGGGCTTGTAAGAAATTAAAAATATACAGCATTTTGTTGAGCAATGTTATTTTATTCAACATTCTTAAAAAAATTATTTAGTTTAATTATTTGTTATGACCTAGTATCTGAAAAATCATTACAATTTCAATTATAATTCCCATTTTCGTAAATAACAATGTCTATTTTTCTGATAAATATCAAAAACGTAAAATAGATTTGTTCCTGTACATTTTATTATTGTATTTATTTACAGCAAATACCTGTTTAAGTAAATATTGCGTATTATATTCATGATACTGAAAGAATGATGTACAATATACAAATGCAAGTGTGTTTCATAAAGAATTTCATAAAATTCGTTTATATAATTATTGTGAATTTGTATTATACGTAATTTTGTCTATGACATAATATAAATAAATTTACATTAACTGTAATAATAGAAGCTTTTCTTTGTTTCAATGATTCATTTCCTTATAATTCTTATAAATAATTAGTTTCATTAAGTAATCGAGGCAACAAAAATAAGGGAAAATAATTATAAGCTTGTTTAATACATTTTTCTACATTTCAATGTAAAATGCATTAGAACTCACGTAACTTATTCAAAAGTAATTAAGTTCTATGTTTCTTTTAAATTATTATTTAAAAGTATATAAAGCATAATTCTTACTAAAAAGAAAAATTATCATCGATTTAAACGTCATTACCAATTTCTGTTCAAGTGACCTGTTCGATTAAAAAACCGAGAATAATGGAGTATAAACTTCTTTTTATAAGTGTTATAATAATGTATAGACTCTCTAATTCAAATTGTCACATCAATATTTCCCGTTAATTAAAAATTTTCATTCTTAGAATAGTATTTTATCTATACTTTAAATAGTAATAGTCCATAACTTCATACAGTAAAAAATTTCTTTTTGAATAAAAATTAGGTAAGATGATAAAAAAAATTAGATAATGAATTAAATTCTAGTCTGTTTTAATACTGAGTGTTAACTGAATCCACATGTGTTGCTAAAAGATTCACTTACTGTGACCTTTTTAGTAAATAAAAATACGTTGTTTTGGAAATATATCGTAATATTTACATTTATTCTCGACTTCTTTCTGTAAGGACTGGTAGTATTATATAAGAAATTACTAAATAACATATGTAGATTTTAGAATGAAATCTGAAATCTAACAAATCCTTATCATCTGTTTTTCCATTTACGATGTAGTGCAACATCTCAGAGTCAGTCGTCGAAATGTAATTTTGAGAAATCTTTTATCAAAGAAATATTTTTTAACGTGAGACATCTGTTATTAGTATTTATTTGATAATATTATTATCAAAGTTTCTTATTGTTAAATTTACAAGCTATTTTCATTAAAGAGTCGTGTATTTTGACCGATTTGACGAAAATAGCCCTCGACAATGGAAAAAATCGAATAGCTATATACGGTTTCTTTCGTATTTTTATCCAAACAAAAAAAAGAGTCTACAAAGTTGCAGATGAAATTGTCGGCCTGAACATATATTGCAATCTTCTTGTAAATATGTGCATCGGTTATATATATGGTATTTCGCCGATGAGATCATCAACTTGATTTGATAGTTGGTACAATTTGCTTTGCAAAACAAATTTTGGATAATTAGAAATGTAGCCGCTAAAAGCCACAGTACACGAGTGTGAAAAATATATTAGTTAAACGAAACTAAATTTAGCTTATAGTATGACTACACACGCAATGCTATTTTAAAAACCAATAAAAACATTGTTTGCGAAAGCAGCAGCTCAACGACTTACACGCGCGGCATAAAAAATAAGTAAATATATAGCTGATTAAATTTGAAAAGAACATTCATTGTAAAATTTACGCTTGAAGCGAGTCGTGCGTGCAGTATATATAATTACCGTATAGGCAAACGTCAGACATGGTCGGCTCTTTTTCGAGCCCATCGAAAATAAAATGCCTTGGCTCTTCTACGCGAGAGCGTGTAGCGTATATATGCATAGTTCACTGCACATACGACCCACCTGCTAACATTCGTTGAATCAGAATGTAGGCCGCTCAGGGTGGAGGCCGCTGCCGCGCGCGACTCACCACGAGCGAGCACTGCGAGCAGAGCTATCGAGTAGCGTCAGAGTAAAAGGCAGAGCCCAGAGCAGCTGGAGCGCGTCAGCCGAGCGGACGAACGTACACAGAAGAAACCCTTTGTATCATAATAGCAAGACAACGATGTTGAACCTCTGCCGACAGTCATTTTTCGCCAACGCGCAACAGTATGTATCTCTGTAATCTTATACTTTTCATTCAATCACCTCTATGTAGTGTCCGACTATTGTCTGCTTTTTACACGAAGCGACGTCTACGGGAAGTAATACTTATGCTGAATTTGCTCGTTCTATCGATCATCATAGTAGGGCTTTGCTTCTCTCTTTTCCTCTTTCGCTCTTTCGCGACTTATAGTGATGGAATGTCACGAACAATGTGTTGTTGTAACACCAAATATTTTGATCTATTTATTGCTCATTTTTTATAGTTTTCAACGTATGATTTGCTTTTTTTAATTCTTTTTTTTTGCGGTATCTCATCATCTATCTTTGTCTCATATTTCCGTTGCACCTTTTGTCCTTGTCGCACTCGCGCCTGGCTGCTCTCATGATTTTGGAATTTTCCGCTCGCTAGCTACTTCTCTCTTTCTCTCTCTCTCCCTGCTTTTGGTACAAGGTATGTATATATCATCTAACCCAATACCAGTCCCCTCTACTTCTTCTCAGTAATACTTTCTCTTTTTTTCTTTAGGAATATTCGTCGGAGATCTTTCTTTTTTCCCTCTGATTTGCACTTTTTCAATTCTAAACTCACCTGTGTAATACCGTCAGCCGAAGTGACTTGTTGTCTGGGTTATTTTTGGTTAGTTAGACACCTCTTTCATTCAAGTTCATTCAGAATTTTGTAAAATTTTGAAGACTGCGCTTTGAGTTTTATAAAAATCTATTCATGTAATGTTTTGTTATGAATGTATTATTAAATATTCAGCCCTTTACAATACATACTTGAACTTAAGTAGAAGTTGTTAATTTAATTTTAAATCATATATTCTGTTATGACTTATTTTGTAAAAATATTCCATTTCTTAAAATACATATTTGACTTGCAAATTTCACTGAGTGTAAAGTATTTTTTTAAAAGTACTACAATTTAATTTAATCAAATGCATTCAGAAGTTTTAATACTAGTAACTGTATTTTATTCAAAACTTGTTCTAAAGTTTATAAAATAAATTTTTATTGCAGTACAAAAAAATTAATATGATTTAATAGTAATTATGAATCAAACAATATTATAAACCAAGTAATCAATATCTTATTAAAATTACTGATCATTTATCAGTTAATTGCGATAATACTTAACATCAATTGGTTTATATCAATTTCTTCTTAAGAGTAGATAATGAAGTTACATAGATCAATGCAATGATAATGGTTGCATAATTTTATTGATGTTGTACAATATACATATTGTTAATTGTTGATAACATAGATAAAAAAAATTATTTTCTTGTTTATTATTGATAGAAATAATCTGATCAACTAAAAATATATTTGTTCTGATGTTCCAAGTGTAAAATATCGCTAAAGACACTTCAAAAGTATCTGTATCTTTAAGATAAGAAATAATCTTCCAAGTGTGTGCCCCTTCCTTTCAGAAGCTTTAGTTTTGGAGATAACAATATTTATATAGCATCGCTCCTTGACTGGAAACACATATGCAAACATTTATTAATCCTGTCCCTGTTGAGAGATTCTGACTTCTTTTGTATTGTCTATGTACTGGATAAGACTTTCGTTGTTTCGTTAATATTTGATGATTTTTTTCTTGTACAGAATTAATACAAGATGTATAGCATCTATTGTACCCTTAACACAACCAAAGGAGTTTCCTTTGGTAAACGAGCCTATCTTAGGTTACAAAAAAGGCAGTCAAGAGCGAGCAAACCTAGAGAAAGCTTTGGATAAAATGACTGGTGAATGTGAAGATATTCCCATAGTTATCAATGGCAAAGAAATCAGGACAGACCGTGTTAAATATCAAGTCATGGTATGTTTTATTTAAAACTATTATTATTTTCTGGATTTTGTGTGAAATTAATAACTGTCACGTTATATTTGCAAATAGCCACATAATCATCAGCACAAGATTGCCAAGTATTATCATGCTACACCAGAGCTGATCCAACAAGCTATTGATAGTTCCGTTAAAACACAAAGAGAGTGGGATAAAGTTCCTTTTGAAAGCCGTTTGGATACTTGGTTAAAGGCTGCTAATTTGATGGCAACAAAGTACAGACAAGAATTGAATGCATCTACAATGCTTGGCCAAGGCAAGACTGTCATACAAGCAGAAATTGACAGTGCTGCAGAACTTATTGATTTCTTCAAGATGAATTGTTACTTTGTTAAAGAAGCTCTGAAATATAAGCCCATTTCTCCAAATCCTAAGGAAACTCTAAACTCTATGAGATATCGGGGATTGGATGGATTTATAGCAGCAGTTTCTCCTTTTAATTTTACTGCCATTGGTGGTAACCTGAGTTACACACCTGCTCTGATGGTTTGTATTTTATTGAAAGTGTTTATATTCACAATTGAATTCATTAACTTACTTTTAAATGATAATTGCTGTTATTACTGTTATAGTTCAGACCTGAGTGCAAAAGATTTGATATAATTTGTTATTTGATTGTAGGGTAATTCCGTTTTGTGGAAACCATCTGACACTGCTGTTTTATCTAATTGGTGGATCTATAAGATTTGTAAAGAAGCAGGTGTACCAGATGGAGTTGTCAATTTCATACCAGCCCATGGGCCAGATTTTGGAGACACCATTACAAACTCACCATATCTTTCTGGCATCAATTTTACGGGTTCTGTTCCAACATTTAATCGACTTTGGGCGCAAGTTGGAAAAAATGTGAATAAATATAAGAATTATCCCAAACTGATCGGCGAGTGTGGTGGCAAAAATTTTCATTTTATACATCCCAGTGCAGACGTTGAGTCAGTTGTGAAGGGAACTATAAGAAGTGCGTTTGAATATAATGGCCAAAAATGTTCGGCATGTAGTCGAATATACGTGCCTGAATCACTTTGGAGCGAGGTGAGAATTTTTAACTTCAATAGTTCATGATTACTGAAAGAAATGATTATTAAATATTAAAAATTTTCAGATAAAGGCCGGGCTTTTGTCCATTCGCGACAAATTAAAAATGGGAGATCCTCGTGATTTTTCAGTATTTCTTGGAGCAGTGATTGATGCTACAGCTTTCAAAAGAATTTCCGGTTATATTGATCACGCTAAGAAATCTTCCGATCTAGAAATTATCGGTGGAGGAAAATATGATAACTCGTGAGTATTTCAATTGAATGTAATTTTCACCCATAAATCCTTGTTTTTTCAATGATTTTATAACAAAGAATTATTTATTTTCTAGACGTGGTTATTTCATTCAACCTACCATAGTACAAACTAAGAACCCTAAAGATAAGATAATGACTGAGGAAATCTTTGGACCTGTTTTAACTGTTTACGTTTACAAAAATTCAAATTTAAACGAAACTATGAAATTAGTCGAATCTTCCACGCCATATGCGTTAACTGGAGCAATATTTTCGCAAGACGAGTAAGTTTAAAATTATTTATTTCTCTTAATTGACTGAAAAGTAGCTGTCACTATGTAATAATTCATGTAGTGTCTTGTTTTTATTGATATTGAATTTTTATTTTAGGCAATGGGCAAAGCAAGCTCTAGAAGAGTTTAAATATTCTGCCGGCAATTTTTACGTAAACGATAAGTCAACGGGATCTGTTGTTGGTAACCAACCTTTCGGAGGTGGTCGAATGTCTGGAACAAATGATAAAGCTGGTGGTCCTCATTATGCTTTAAGATGGTCATCGCCTCAATCCATCAAAGAAACTTTCGTACCTCTTACAGAATATGACTACGAATATATGCGTTCATAATTTATTTAAAAGTATGAATGAAAGGATTTTGTTTGCAATATTGAATGTTTGAGTTGCCCATCAGTAATGCTAGAGTTATTTTTATGTATTTTTCATCCAAAAGTCCCGATTTTGACGGTACATTTACAATACAGACAGGGACTGATTTATAATTTTTATTCTGACATTAAAACGTATTATTCAGTTTTGTAGAATATTTTAGTTCCTTTGAAATGCCAAACATTCAACTTACGTAAATTTTTGACGAATATATAATAGGAAAGAGACTGTAGTTAAGACTCCAAGCAGAGAATGCATGAATTTTCTACAGACAAGTGATAAAAATATAAATAATACATGTAAAATTCTGATTTGGAAGCTTTTGTGACTAATAGAAATATGCATATAGTTTTTATCGATATAATCAAGCGAGGCGAGATGAAAGAATTTAATAGATTTTCATCGATTAGCAGTACTTTTTGTGTATTGTTTTATAACTTTCACAAATAATATATTGTTATATGCCAATAACGTATGGGCATACGATTATGCTCATAGGCAAGATCTGTTACACTGTAATGTTTGTAAAATTGTGTATAAAGAATGACCGTAGAAATATAATATTTCCAATGATCTAAAACTCAGTTTTAACAGCGCCTCCAACCTATACGAGATTGTATTATGACAGAATCATATAACGTACCGTGGCTATTGTGATTTAATTTATTTTTATTGCAAATTAATCATAATTCAAATATAAGTTTTTAAATGAAAACCGAGTTCTTGTTATTTGGTCTTCAAATGATTCACCTCATCGACAATGCCTTCACAATAAACTGGTATTTTTAAAGCCAATATCAAGTACTTGATCGATTACATATATTACTATTTTATTACAGTGAATAAAGTTTTTCACATAATCTAAATGGCCTTTTTAAGCCAATTACTAATGCTGCTAGAAGAAAGAATAGTGAGCGAGAGAGAGAGAGAGAGAGAGAGGACGGGTAAAGGTAAATAAAGTCGATTTTCGACATACAAAATCATTTATTCATATAAAAGGACACTTTATACTAGAACGTACTGTCTTAAATTCTAGCCTAAGGTTTCCGCAGCCGGAATAACCAAGTTGCAGCCGACTCGCACATGCTTCGACTATCACATATCATATAATATGCAGCGGTTCGCGTGTCAAAAAAACTGAATAATCGATCGCCTTGACAAGTTGGACCAAGCGCTCGCTTAATAAATGGCTCTTACAATGTACGATTAAAGATTAATATCAGCGCTGGCCAATCGCCTATTCACGCGCTATGGGTCTTTTTTTCGCGCGCACCACCCTCAAGAATAAATGTTTTCGTTACACATGTCGCTATTTTAACACACTCGAAATACACTTATGTATGTATGCTTTTTTTGTTTAAATTGTTATAAACTGCTATACTTGAGTGTATAAAGGTATAAATACTATAAAACGATTAGTCGCTAGAAAATAGAAAGGGACGTTCGATCGGCTCGCGTCTCGCGCCTCGAGAGCAGACTGTCTTATGTAAGCTACGCGAATCCAAATTTCATACACAGGAAACAAGAGTAACCGACAGACGGCCAATGATTGATTACCAAGACGCGAGCCGCAAGTCGGCTCTGGCGCTTTTATTTTTATCGAACGGAAGGCTGAAGATTTGCTGGAAAATTACAAGCAACAGCCCGTCCGAGCGTCCAAGCGGTAGAAGCCTATATTTTTTTGTTGCGCTTAACTTTAATATACCGAAAGTTAACAAGTGATTGACGTTGACAATTTCATCGTGTAAAAAATGTGCTCTGATATAGCTTCTACTGGTCGAACGGCTCGGAAAAGTTGTTTTCCTTTTATCTCTTATTTTAGTAAAAAATAAAGAAAAGAAAAGAAAAGGAATAATTAAAATTGCAATGAACGGACTACAGGCTGCTCTCGTCAATAACAACAGAACTTCAATCTTCATGTTCTCTCCTAATGTTTCTTCTAATTTGTCTATATAAAAGAGAAGAAATTACAAACTCTTTTTTTCGTATTCTCGAGTCTCGAAGCTCGGACTGCTACTTAGAACTAGAGACTGGAGAATTAAAAAAAAAACAATAACATGGATAATTACAGAACGCTTGCGGTGTCTAACTGAATAAAATAAACACTTTTATAGAGAATTAATTGCGCCGTTTAAATGCCTTTAAGAGATTATTATTACAGAGTATAAAGTTTTTTCGTATAAACGTATATATTTAGATTTAATATTTATAATTATGTATATATATATGTCCGTGTGCGTATACGTACCTACATTATTTTTTTTAGTTTGTTAAATTGAAATTGTTCATTAGCTCGCCGGAGAAGCAATCGGTTTGCAAATACGACCGTCGGTCCTCCGTACGAGCCGCCCGTCTTTTTTTAACGAGCTATCAAATTGCGCGTACGTTTACCTTTTACTTTAAATGTTTCAACTTCGTTTCTGCTTCTTTCTCACTTATTCTCGCGTTTCCGCTTCTCAACGATAACCTACGCTTCCTCATCATTAAATATTACAAGCTTATCTTTTTTTAAAAGTATTTACATTACAAAAGAGTTGCGGCTTTAATGCTGCACTCACATATAAGTTTCTTTACTGAAAAATTGAAGTTACACAACGCATTCGTATAAAAAAATAATTACCTGTAAAAAAGATTGTATATTACCCTGAAAAAATTACGTTAAAAACATGACTTGCGCTGTTTTCTCATTCACCTGTCTCAATTTGCTGAATTAGTCTGGCAACGTGATATGGCTGCGTTTAAAAACTTTGATTTCTTTATGTTCGTTCGTCAACGCCGTTGATGTAAATCGGTATTAAAACGAAGGCACAAGGCTTCAAGTCTTAGCATTAAGAGCTCCCAGCGATATCCATAGATACACAGTAAATGGAGAAATTTCGTCGCGACTCCTCTCCAAACGTTTGCTTAAAATATAAATCAAAGGTGTTCGAAAAAATTATCATTGACAAATATTTATACCTATCGTGCGACTAATCGATCTCGGAATGTTTTGAGCAGTGGTGTCTTCATAAAAGAATATGTTTACATTTACAATGAAAAAACAAAATGTTGTCGCAGCTCATAACGAATCTGACCCGAGAAACTTTGATTGTTTAATTTTCCTACGAAAAAACTTTTCAATATTTATTAGTCGCACTTAAAGTATGAACATTTGTCGATAATTTTTTCGAGTACTTTTGATTTTAGACAAGCGATCAAGTCGCGACGAAATTTCTTCATTGACTGTAATCTTTGGATATCATTGGGGAGGAAGGAAGGGCAGGGGCTTTAACCTTCGCGCGTTTTATCGAGCATTACTGGTACAGCGCAAGATTTTCCCGTTACTTATAAAAAAATTGCTCCTTATAATATAATTATATCTTTACATTATCGTGTCTTTTTAATATCCGTTTAGCCATTACATTTTGGCACCACAAAGAAAAAAATTCGCGTTTTCAAACATCCGTCCGCATTCGCTCCCTTCATATATATAATATTTATGTATAAATTTATGTATATGTATAAAACAATAAAATATTTATATATATAAACGTTTACGTTTTGGCCACTCAGTTCGCTATATCGCCTATTTAATAAAAAACTGTCTTTGTCTAAGGCGATTCACATGCAAGTCCATTTTTACTCCATTGCGCAGACTCGCTCGTTCTCTCATTCTCTCTCTCGTACTTGCTCTATCGTGCTCTCTCTCTCTCTCTCCCTCTCTTTCTCTCTCTCTCTTGCATTTCGTTTTTTGTACAAACGTACGCACTATTTTCATGTATTACAATTATCTGACATTTAATGTCAGGAGATTAAAGTTATCGGTTTTGATTGAACCATGCGTAAATGGCTCATCTCCTTCTCCTTTTGGCAGCTGCATGAGCTATCATTTCCTTGAGCATGGGGCTCGCCGAACAGGCCTTAGGCTCGCACTTCATCTTGCCGTCACCTCCGCACCTTTAACAATCACAAGATCGATACGTTAACATTACATTGCGATTAAATCAATGACTTATCATCAGTCTTGAGTAAGGTTGGCAAAAACTTACGTGCAGCCCATGCAGGGTCCGGACTTTGACTTGATTTCCTCACCAATTCGGTACGCTCGATTGCCAACTTGACAGCCTCCTCGGAACGCATTGCCACGGTAGGCATGCGACAAGAAGTGCGGTGGCACCGTGGTTGTCGTGGTGGTCGTTGTAGTTGTTATGTTGAGAGAAGTCGCCATCGAAACGGGACACTCGTACCTCGGGCAACAGAATCCGTTGATTGGTTCCTCGTGACATCCAGGTATCGGTGGAGGACAACTCTGCTGTAGGCAGATAATATCGCTACGGAAGCAGAAGCAGAAGTCGCAAGGATCGTCGCGTGGAATCTGCTGGGCAGACATGTAGATCTTTCCGCCGTATCTACAAGTTCCAGGTCCATATATGTGTTCGTCGGTACCATCATAGTCTTCTCCGTCGGTTTCTGGCGCCTCGAACGGATCTTTGATATTTCCACCTTCAGGTGGGAAAATAGCCTCATCGTCGGTTTCCGGCAGATTTTCAGTCTGATCTGGGTATTCTGGTCGTTTGTGTGGGATTACAGCTTCAGAATGTTCTGTCGATTGTTCAGTTATATTTTGAGGTTCTTGTGTGATTGGCTGCGCTGTATGTTGAGCTTGTGTGTCGTGGATATGTTGATCGTCGTCAGAATCAGGTGTCTCGGACGGCTCCGTGCTTATTGGTTCTTGTGAAGATATCGATTCCTTGGTACTTTGATCTTGAGTTTCGGATGTCGAGCTTATTGAGCTGTCGCTAGTACTTTCAGGCAAAGACGTAGGCTCTTCAGAAATTGCTGATGATGTGCTTGGCTCATTTTCACCTAATTTTTCACCAAGTTTAGGTTCACTAGTCGTTACATCAGAAACAGTTGGTTCAGAAGACGAAGGTTCAATTGTAGGTTCAAACGAAGAAGATTCAACTGCAGGTTGGGAGGAGGAAGAATCAATTGCAGGTACGGAGGAGGAATAATCAATTGCAGGTTCGGAAGATGATTTAGTGGTGGTTTCTTCTCCTAATGATGTCTCTGGAGTATTTTCATCTATAGATTTTTCTGATTCATCAATTGAAGCTGAAGATGGTTCTTCTGAGGGAACTTCAGACTCTCCCTTCGTAACTTCTTCGCTTTCGTTTGCTTCCGAAACTGCTGAAGAAGACACTTCTTCACCTTCGGTAGATGTTTCGATTGAAGTCTCAACTGGTGTTTCAACTGGATGCTCTGATGCTTGATCATCCGTACTTGATTGTTCAGGAACAGTGGCAGTTTTACTGGACTCTTCAGATTCGGGAGCTGCTGTTACTACTTCCTCTTTTTTGTCTTCTAGAACTGATGGCTCGGTAGCTTCTATTTTAGTTTCAATATTCGTATCGCCACTTTCACTAATAGGTGATTCAGTAGACTTTCCATCTTCAATAGTCTCTTCACTCGACGTAGTCTTATCAGTAGACTGATCTAACGGAGCAACAGTTGTAATTGGCTCTTCTTGTTTAGTTTCCTCCGGAGACTCTGTTAATTCAATATTCGTATTTTCGCTAGAACTGCTACTTAGTTTATTCAGTTCTGTAGTTTCTTCTAGCTGTGGTTCAACGGACGATGCCTTGTCTGGAATTTCAGAGTCCTTTGTAGTTTCATCTACTGATATCATTGTAGTCGAAACCTCAGCAGAAGAGTCAACTTCTGTTTGAACCGTGGTTTGCAGAGGTTCTTGTCCTTCTGAAGGCTTTGTTTCGGATAACGCTGTTGATTCATCTCTATCTGTTGGTGCAAAAGTAGATGGTTCATTTTCAACAGTTTCTTTAGGTGTATCTTCACTTGTTTCAGATATAATTTCTTGGGTTGTAGACTCTTGCTGTTTGTTAATGTCATCTTCAGTAGCTCCGGAACTGTGAGACGATGATTGTTCAGGAGTCATACTTGTAACATCAACTTCTGGTAATGGTGACGATGCAGAGGTATCTTGGTTTAATTTATTTGATGTATCTTCGGCAGATACTTTATCAGGAGTGGCAGAAGATGTAGCGGTACCTTCTTGAATTTCTGAGCTGGTACTTTCTTCAGTGGGGGTTTCGCTACTTCCTACTGAACTACGCTCTGTGGATTCTGGGGTTTCTTTTTCAGATTCCGAATCTTTAGGCTTTTGTTTTTCTTCGTCAAAAGCTCCTGTTTTTGATGATTCAGTGCTGTATGATGTAGTCGAAGAAGTTACTTCGGTTTCTTCTGATAATGAGGGTTCTTCACTAGGTCCTGAAATAATGTTCTTGGTATCGCTGTCGATTGATGTAATGGTAGGTTCAGGACTTGTAACAGGCGTCTCATTTGTACCTGGCAACTGTGTGCTCGAATTATCGTCATCCTGACCTTCTAATGGCTTCGTTGGTTCTGAAGATCCTTCAACTTCCGACTGTTCGGTAACGTGTTCAGAACTTTCTTTTTCCGTTTGTGATTCTATTGTCAAAATTGGTTTTTGAGTTGCTGATATGTCTGTCGCAGTAGGTAATGTTTCATCGTTACTGGATGTTTTTTGTGACATTGTTTCAACGGGTTCGGGAATTGCTGTAGTTGTTTCTTCCATGTCTTTGGAGGATTCAATTGGCAAAGTTGGTTCTTTTTCTTCATCCTCTTTGATTCTTATATCAATTGTTGGTTCTGCTGAGGAACTTTCAGTTGATGTTGGAAGACTCACAGTTTCTCCTTCTACCGAAGGAACAGGAGTAGTCGATTCTTTTTCTGTTTGAGCTGTGGTCGCGGAGGATTGAATAGGCTCTTCAACTTTAGGTGATTCTGTCGAGAATTCTTCGGATAATTTTTCAGTAGTTTTCGTTTTGCTTTCATCATAAATAGGAGTTGTATGACTGTCAGACATCTGATTACCAGCTTGCAGCTCAACCTTTGGCGTTGAGTCGCAAACGTACATTGGGCAGCATGATTCAGCTGAATGTATTTGTGTACAGTTAGGTGGTAAGTCGTCTGGTGGAGATGAACATTCTATATGTTCACATATTCTCATGCTACTGATGCATCGGCAATTAAATTCACAAGGGCTTTGTGGAGGAAGTGCCGAATTATTAGTATAAGTTTGGCCTTGTTCAAGACAATTGCCTTCTCCTGGGATACCTGGGCGCGTTACTTCCATTTCAATAATTGGTTTTTGGCTTGTAATATCATTAGATTCTGTTGATTGACTAGACTCTTCTATTTTTTCCGACAAGTCTTCCGCAGTTGCAGATTTTTCTGTGGTTGGCTGTGCTATTAACTCTTGCTCGGGTGTTACATCTATTGAAGCCACAGTTGTGGACGTCGATTCTGGCACTTCTTTACTATGTTCATCAAATTCAGTAGATGATTCTTTTATCCTTTCTGTCGATGGTTCTGACTGTTCTGGAGCAGTCGAAGATTCTGATGTTACAACTTCAGTAGATGATTCGATTAGTTTTGGCGTTGTTATTTTATCTTCTTCTGGTGATGAAGTGGTGTGTGCGTCTGACTCAACTGAACTTTCAGAAGTTTTCTCTGTCATAATGTATTCAGGGACTTCTGGTGCACTATAAATAGGAATTTCGGAAGCAGATTCTGTTTCTTTAGATTTTTGTGGTGCCTCAGTTGATAAAGTTCCACTTGAACTGTGCTCAGGATTAGTGACTGATTCAGGTACCTCACTGGTGATACCGGAACTAGTCACAGGTTCAACGCTATTTTCGTTACTAACTGGCTTTTCTGAAGATTGATCATCGATGCCTGTAACACTAGTAGTTCCTTCTTCTACTTCGGGAGACTTGGAAGCATCTTTTTCTTCTTCAGGAGCCTCAGTACTACTTTTACTTTCATCACTAACTGATGGCTCGTTTTCTTTGACAGTCGTCACGGTTGTCGATTCCTCATCAGAGAGTTCATTACTTGTTGTTTGCTCAATCTCACCCTCTTTCTCACCAGTAGATTTATCTGATGTATCGCTGGGTATTTCTTTTATTGATGAAGTACTGTCGACAGGTTTTGTCGTCTTACTTTCATCGTCTGGCCTCTTGGAAGTTGCCTCGTTGTCAATGCTAGGTTTTCCTTCCTTAGATGTTTCAGAATTTGAATCTTCAGGTTGCTTAACTGTTGTTGTATCGTACTTGATTTTAGGTGTGATAGGAAGTTCTGTCGTTTGTTTTTCTACGTCCAAATCATCTTTAGGTAATTTCTCAATTATGGGTGTAGATGATTGTCTGTCTACTTCAATACTTGAACCAACTGGTGGCAAATATGTCGTGGATCCGTACTCTGGTTCTTCAGTTTGCATATTAACATGATGCGGCATGCCACTACCAGTAATAATAATTCCTTCAGTCACTCCAGGTTCTACCAGAGTTTCATTGCTATCCACTTTTTTGTTCTCTGGACCTCGCTCTGGTTTAGACACGCTTGGTATACCGGAAGGTCCCGTTTCTGGTATGATTGGTTCTTCAGAACCTTCTGACTTTTCAGGTGCTTGCGTAGTAATGTTTTCTGACGGAGGCTCTTCAGTTTTGGGTTGCTCGCTTTCAGATGATGAAACAGGCCTTAAAGTTGATGGCGTTTCATCTACTTCAGGCTTCTTGCTTTCGATGTTTGGAAGAGTGGATGTTTCAAATGGAACCCTAGTTTCTGCACCTTGTTTGTCCTCATCAATATTCTTTGACGTAGTAATTTCTGGCTCGATTGTTATACTTTCTTCAGGCTTAGATCTGTCGTTAGCCGGCGTTGTCGTATCGGTTTCTTCTGGAATTCTATTTTCAATATCCTCCGGTGTAGAAGTTTGAAGACTTATTGGCTCTTTTATTTCTTCCGATACCATTTCGTCGTTTAATTTTGTAGTTGTAACTTCTGGAGCTGAAGCTGGAGCTGAAGTCGTAATCAGTGTATTGTCATTTTCTTCGGGAGTTTCTACTGTCGTAGCTTCAGGGCTGATTGGTGACTTCGATTCATCAGATGTTTTTTCAACATCGGAGCTCAAAATAGTCGAGGTCGATGAGTATTCTGGTGTAGTAACATGCTCTACACTTTCTGATTCTTCGCTGTTTGTTGATGATGAATCAATACCAATAGTAACAGGTTCTGCACTATCTGGATTTTTATTGCTTGGCGATGACAAATCATTACTGGTAGTAACAGGTTCTGCACTTTCTGGTTCTTCACTACTTGAAGATGACGAGTCAGTACTGGTAGTTACAAGCTCTACATGTTTCGGTTCTTCGTCAATCTCTTTATTTGGCAATAATGAATCAGTAGCGATAGTTACAGGCTCTGCGCTCTCTGGTTCTTCATTGTTTGACGATGACGAATCAATGTTATGACTCTGTGTTGTACTCTTGTTATCATCTGGAACTTCAGGCAAGAGCGCAGATTTGTCTGAGTCAGGTTCTGTCGTTGTTTGTTCTGTCGTTTCTGATGCAGGCTCAACTGGTTTCTTTGATTCTACATCTGAGGATAATGGCGTTGCTTCAGTCGATTCCTTGCTACTACTTTGTTCGGTTGTAATTACTTCACTAACTGGACTAGAAGAATCACTAGTTTTGTCTATTCCTTCGCTAACTGTCGTTACTTTTTCAGTCGTCACATCAGCTTGACCTGGCGAAATATTCTCGCTGTCTTCCGGAGATGTCATTGTGGGTTCTTCTGGCATGGCCTCAGCGACCGGTTCGTGGCTTGCATTTTCTGCCCCCTTTTCAACGCCCGGAGTTCTCGTCGGTTCTGTATCGGTTGGCGATAATTTTGATTCGGTCGATGCTTCGGCAACGTTGTTTGTTTCACTGGTTGTCGTCTCATCTTGATGCTCATCGCTGTCTATTCTTGGAGGAAGTTCAGATGATAGATCAGAGTCCTTGTTAACCTCTATCAGCGTAGGTGTGGTATTTTCAATCACAGTCTCATCTGGCATCGGAGCCTTCTCCGTGAGCTGATCGTCATGCGGCTCTTTTGATTCGGTTGGCTTATCTTCCGACTCGATAGTCGTGAGTTTCTCGTCAATGGCAGGTGATGCCGTGGTATTAGGTTCAGGAACTTCGCTCTTAACGGGCAATACCGTTTGCGGCTCTTCCGTCGTTGACGAGCGGTCTGCCGTAACTTCCTCTGGGATGTCGTTGTTGGCTCCAGGGAACGACTCTTTCGGTGGCTCTTGAGGAACTTCGTTTACGTCCGTTACGTCGGGTATTTCCGTAGCGACGTTTGACGTACCGTCCTCTGTAAAGGAAAAGAAATTCACACGTGGTATGAGCGAATGAAAAATGCTCAGAGCTGAGATATTAAAGCGCGGAATGGACTGGAAAGAAGACAACAATGGAATTTCGAGTGGAGTATATAGAAGGCATTTACAGTTAACGATCGAGCGCGTTACCGCTCGGAGCACGATGCGTGACAATAATGGGCCTTTATCCTCGGCACGAGTAGCGAGAAATTGAGGGTTTGCTGCTTACCGCAGTGATAGCTGGGACAGCACTCGCCGTCGAGCGGTGGCAGTGCCGTGCAATTGTTGCCGTGAGACTCCATGGGTTTGCCGCAGTCCTGCACCGCGCACACGATGTCGCCGTGGAAGCAGTAGCAGTGCTGGCACGGCTGAATCGTGTAGATGAGCTCGCCGTCGTCGTACGTGTTGCCGTCGTGCGTGCACTGCGGTGGCGTGATGCGAGGCTCCAGCGTCGTCGTCGTCGTCGTCGTCGTCGTCGTCGTCGTCGTCGTCGTCGTCGACATTATCAGGCCGGGCGTCGTTGTCTCGTAGCTGTCGTCGTAATCTGGGGAGAAGAGCGTCGGAACGCTTAGACGAAAGTCGTCGGCGCCGCGAGGAGCGGAGCGGAAAATGGAGGTCGCGTGATCGACTTACCGCAATTGTATTTGACGGGACAGCAGATGCCCGGATGGTAGACCGGCTTGCAGCCGACGACGGAGAGCGTGCACTGCTGCATCAGGCAGGTGGTCTTGTTTCTGATGCAGTAGCAGAGCTCGCAGGGGTTGCTGGCGTTGATCGGCAGTTGAGCGCCGTCGGCAAAGAAGCGCTCGTTGACGCTGCAGCCGTAGGTGTCGGGGAAGCCGAGGTCGGTGCTGGACGAGGGCGCCGCGGCCGACCTATTGGCCGGCGAGGACGTGGTGGAGGTGAGCAGTTGAACGGGTACTTCGGGACAGGTGACTACGGGGCAGCACTGGTCGGGTCGCTTCTCGACCGTGCAGTCCTGGCCGATCGCCTTGGTGAAGGGACACACCCTCAAGTAGCACATCAGCATTCGATTGTGGCACGTGCAGTTGAGGCATGGCTCGTTCGTTATTATCCGCGCGCCTTCTTGGTAGTGCTCTAAGTTGTAGTAGCATCCGCCTGCGCTCGCTGTGACGCACACACACACAGACATACGGGCCTTTTACTTACTGCTCGCTCATTCTAATGGTTGCTTGCGCGACTGGATGCATGTGAGCGCTAGATTCGCGGAATTTGCGTAATACCGCGGCATCCATTCATCGAGCGTTCGTCGACGCGACTACGTTCAGAACCAGAGAAAGATCTGAGCTATCCGTCGCGACCGGAAATGGAACTTGTAACGTTCGAGCTCGTATCGGCATAGGTTTTCATAAAAGTAAGAAAATTCACATACCATCGTATTCGGCAACTTGCGTGGACTCGTTTTCTATGGGCGCTGTAACAGAAAAGCGAAGAGTAATGGTCGTTATTCGGCGGCACTGCGCAAAATCATATGGTCTCGCGCTTGCCGAGGCTACGTTTTTACGCGTTCGACCGGCTGATAATAATCGCAGTAGTTTTCCGAAGGCTAGCGTAAACGCTCGGCCGGGATAATAACGATAGTAGCACGCCGCCGCGCGAGAGAGACGAAATCGCGTGCGGTGTTGCTCAACGAGAAAACGAAGATGCTGCGCTCGACTCTCGCGGCCGAGAATCGCAATGTTCATTCCAGTAATTACAGCCGTGCAGCGGGAATGCGTGCGCGCGTACGTACTAAAGTGTCGTATGGCGCTATCAGGCACCTCCGCCCTTTCCTCTCTCGCGTTGCCACCACTTTATTTCGCTCTGACACGCGCGCTGCTGCTTGGCTTTCGGTCTCCACCTTCGCGATCGTCACTTTAGCCGATTTCTTCGGGAATGGAAATATCGATCGCGGGCCCGTCGATTGTTGTTTCCACTTTTGGTCCACTCAATGGACAGACTTTGAATCACTCGTGTGTGCGTCACTGGAATGCAATTACTCGGCGCCAAAGCGCCGTTGATTGAAATCGAACGTCGAGTGGGTTTTGGGGTGACTGTGCGTCGATGTAAAATCAATCTCTCGACGACAATTTCGAGGTCGATCTTGACACACACATACCTACATATATATAGAGAGAGATCATCGATGAAGGGGAAAAAACGAATATATCGATGGCATACTGCATTCACACGAGTGTATTAGCTATATGTAGACAAGCGCGGAGTGCAGATTTTCTTTCCAGCGAGTCGCCGGTGATGGGAATGCGAATAGCGCACGCGAGCATCAGAGCCGCGTGCCTCCACGTTTTCCGCGACACGCACGTGATCCGCGCCTCTCTGCCTCTCTCTCTCTCTCTCTCTCTCTCTCTCTCTCTCTCTCTCTCTCTCTCCCGACGACGACGGCGCAGCCGATCGATAAGGCTATCGATAGGGGGACGCGCTAACTGCAATATAACCCAGACGCGTTGACCTTGTGCGTACAGGCGACTCTGCTCAGCGGCATTGTCTTTGGAGAGTCGGACGGGTGCGACTCGTGGATTCGAGCGAGAACGCGGAGGAATAGGAGGTGCGCAGGATTTCACGATGGGCAGCGCGTGCAGCGCGAAGAGTCCGCGGCGAGAGGCCGTCTCTCGCTCGAAATCGATCTACGGCCGATAGCTCGTAAAAGGCAGCGATCTAATGGGCCGCGTTGACGGCGGCGACGGCGACGGCTCCCGCGACGAGTTCCGCTAAATTTGAAATAGCAGGAAATGCCTTGCATGCGCTCGGCGCACAGTCGCCAGCTTGAGATATTATGTACCGTTGAGAGCTGCTGTTGCCGTTCGACCGACATACCTTCTGCCCTCCTCTCTGTCTCTCTCTCTCTCTCTCTCTCTCTCTCTCTCTCTCTCTCTCTCTCTCTCTCTCTCTCTCCCTGTTGCTAGGCATACGTGCTCCTCTCTCGATCTCCATCTCTTTTTCGGCTTCTCGTCCGAGTGTTCTCTAGCGTGGCCGCGGCGCGGCGAAGAATCTCATAACAGCGTCGATCCGCGCCCGATATCTTATCGACAATGGTTAACGGGACGCCCCCGCGGCTGGACGGCCACCTCTCACGTATACATACACACCGCGTACTCTCCTTTCGGGCTTCTGCGCGAGGCTGTCGCAATGGCTGCCCCCTCGATCACCGAGTAACGCCGAGCTTTCCGAAATTCTCGCGTTCGCCAATGATATTCGAGGCGAGGCGCTAATTAACGTCTCGCTCACGACTTCCGCTTGCACAACCGAGGAAACTCCCAATTTTTCGCCGCCTCTAATCGAACGAAGATCCGCCGCGAGGGTCTCGGCGATAACCCGAGCGACTCGAGCTAATCGTCAATGAAAACGTAATAATAATAATAATAATAATAATAAATTGAAGATTTTTGCGGTCTGAAATCTGGCTCTGGAAGCTCTCTCCCTCGAATGTGTTCCCTAATTAAAGATTAAACATGCATAGCGGTAAAGAGCGGCCGCGCTCGCCAGTGGGGAGAACAAGAGAAACGATAGAATTCGATTCGTGACCATCGATCGGTTGGCCGCCAACGGAACGACAAGAAAAAAAATGAAAAAGAAGTGCCTAATGAGCATCCTGGCCTTAGGGGCTGAAGCAAGCTCCTCGTCGGCGTAGCTCTCGCTTGTAATTCGCGTGCACGTATAAGTAAAGGCGTCCGTCGAAGATGACTCGTCGATTTCGCCTTTCTCACGCGCTCGATTTTCGGCTGTGCATCGCCACGGCCACGCGCAAAAACGAGCGTAACTGTTGTTTATCGAGCTCGAGAAAAACCCATACGTAATGCCCTCTGCCGTGCTTCTCCGTCTCTCTCTCTCTCTCTCTCTCTCTCTCTCGCGGGTAATTAAAACTAATTGCTTTATACGAGGGGCTCATCCATCGCGATTATAACAATTAGCCGCGCTCGCGGCGGGCCGAGCGTTTCTTTATATCGCCGGTCGTTCGTTGGAGCCGTGGCGGCGGGAACGTCGCACGGAGGGATTACAATTAACCGAAAACGAAAGGAGACTGGCGCGATTAATTCGCGAGTATTTATCCGCATGAGCACAATGCGGCAATTAATAAAAATCAAGCCGACGGCATCTCCGCCACGCGTGTTACTTTTAATTAGAGCCCAAGAGGGAGGGAGAGAGAGAGATCAACGCTCGCTTACACAGGTGTACGCGCTTGCGCAATATCCTCGTCCCTCGAATATTCATCGGAGCTGCGTGTGCCCACTGCGCGCGCGTGATTCATCAGCCGCGCGAGCGACCATTATAGCTGTCCATAAATAGCCGAGTGCCTCTCTGTCTACGCGAGCTTCGGTTAATGCTTGCCCCGGCACTTTATCGGTCAAATACGATGAGAACGTAAAGCCACGCGGCGGAGAAATGCAGTTTCGGCCTTGAGCGGCTGCACGCGGCGCGCGACGCCGTTACGAAAGCCCGCGCGCGGCCTTGCTCGCGCTCTCGGCGTCGCGCGAAGTTCATTACCGTCGACCGCGTTGATCTTTCGCCTCTCTCGCTCTCGCCGTGCGCGCCTGTGCGTACGTGGCCGCCGGCTCGGGCGCATCACTTTGAAATTGTACGGTCGCGCGGCCGGCAATCCTTATCGGCTGACAAGCTTCTCCCCGACGAGTTACTTTTATCGTCATCGAATTATATCCTTGGCGGCTTTACTGAACACACAGCCGGGAGAGGAGATATAGCCGAGGAGAGTTGTCGTAGTTGCGCAAAACGAGCGGCGATCACGCGGTGGCCGTGCAGCAACAGGAAGTCCGAACTATTAAAAATGCTTAGGAGTTGTAAATTCAGGATGGGAGCCCGTGTTGCGCTCGCGCGCAGCAATAATCTCGAAGTCGGGTAATAAACACGGGGCCCCAAGAGAGGAGGGGGGGGGGGGGAGAGAAATGTATATATACGCGCGGAGACCGTGTGCAAGGGTTTCGCGCTCGGTTTCTCACTGTAATGAAAGGTTTCGTGCAAGCCGCGCTCTATTCCGGTGCAGTTGCCGGGCAGAAAGAAGAGAGACTGATTGATTGATTTATTTACCAATTGTAAAGCTAATAACGACGCATGCCTATAAAGAGCAGCAAGTATAACTTTAGCATAACTTTGGTTGTAGTTTGGCCACGGACCTGTCGCAGCTTCGCGTCAAATTGCAAATGAAAACGAACCGTTCCGAGGAGCGAGCTACTGTAATCCGCAAAGATCTCGATCCGGTTGGTGTGCTCTCACCCTGGGAACGTTAAGCTGCCTACCCTGCGGGTTCTTGCGGCAAAGAACTCGAGTGAGAGAGAGAGAGAGAGAGAGAGAGAGAGAGAAACTCGATTACCAACGGGGAGAAAGAGACGATCGCGAGAAAGCACGACAACGAGCTCGCACGGCGACGAGACACACGGCCGATCATCGGCGGGCCGTTGCGTGGCTGTGCGCGACGAGAGCGACAGATCGTAAATTTCGCGACGCGAGCGCATCGACGCGGCCACGATCCGCTACTCCTTTTACTCGCCCCGTACGAGGAACTCGTTATAAAGCGCTTTACATTTGATTCAGTATCGAACGAAAGCCTTTTCTCCCTTCTTCAATTAGTTTTTGTCGGCGCACGTTAACGATCCGCGCACGATAGGCAAGCCGCGACTAATTACGTTTTATTAAAAACCCAGCTATAATTCAGTGACTTTACTGGGGGCAACTGACTACTCTGGCGCGCAGCTTTTCCAGGAAACCCATCGATACCACGCGTCCGTAAAAGCGTCTATGTAACATCGCCGAACGAAACGCCGAAGAAAAACAACATTTTAATGAATATCGTCGCGCAAAGGAGACGAGGGGCAAACAATGAAGCTTTCAATTAACAGTATCATAACGATCCCGTTAGAGATTGCAAGGTTGCCAGTTAATGTCTGCGACCGTCCATGGTGACTGCATAAAGAAAAAAAGAAACACAGAGGAGAGAGAGAGAGGGGCTCGCTTGATGGATGACATATCATCGTGGTGGACTATAAAGCACGCCGCAACAATACTCTCTCAAACGAGACAATATAAGTTGGCGGGAAAAAATGACGAGCAGGAGGAGGACAATGAGCGCACTTGAGCCCGAGTGAGTCGATCGAAAAATCAGTCGGAAGGTTTCGCATTAGATCGCGTAATGTAATACCGCTAAGTCAGGAAAAAAATAAAGATGAAAAAAAAAAGAAATCGGCGCCGAGCGCGAAATTTCCGATGACGCAGGTTAAATATTCGGGCTGATGTCACGCTGCGAGCCCGAGTCTCCGTTACGGTCACCGTTGACCTTTTATACGGATACCTACACTTATACGCCTCCCCTCCCCCCTTTCATGGGAAGCACCGGCGCGCTAGCAGGGGCGAACGCAGAAAGAAACATTGACCGGAGTCAATTGATTGCACATTATGCCGATTTTTGCGTGCGTAGCGCTTGTGGGAACCGCGTGGATGTCGGGGGCCGATATGATATTCTAGGTACGCGCGGAATACGTGCACAACGACGTCCTGTTTAATTGACTTGGGTTCTCGACTCGCCGCGATAAATTTAAGCAAAAACGAGTATGCAATTTGTTATAGACGGCCGTCTTACAGAATATCGCACGTTGAACTAGGCTGAATGAATATGTAATTGCGAGGTCAGGATACTTTACACTCTGTATGTAAATATAAAATCATGCGAAGACTTGTTGCATTAATTAAGCTCAATGTAATACGAGTGATGATACGACGCTCGGGATGCGTTGTTCAGCGATTATTCAAGGCTTTATCGAGGATTTACGTAATAAAAGGCAAAGCGCGCCCGATGAGAAATTTCATCAGGTACACGCAGGTACAGGTGCATGCAAGCGCATCGCCTCGGTCAGTGACATTTTAAGCTCTCTTCCCGTCTTCGTCTTGGCCGCCGTTGCCGCGCGTGCATACAGGTCCGACCGGAATTCGAGCTGCGCCGATTTTTTGCCTAGCGATTTTCCGCGAAGGTTGCATAGGGAGATATTTTTTTTTCCATTCCCAGTGCTAACAGCAGCAGCAGCAGCAGCAGCAGCAGCCAAGCGGCAACCCGTTATCTCGCGACGATCCGATGGCTCGGAGAGATTAGAAGTTAGCTGGCTGCCGGGACACGTGTAAGGTCGCACGCGCAAGTGCACCGCTTCTCTCGTCGCTTACGTTATTTTCTTTTTGTTTGACTTTTGCGCGCGCGAGCCCGGAAAAGCCGCGGCGAGAATTATTTATGTGCGCCGCGCGGCAGATTTATCGCCGAGAGAGAGGTAAATTTTCATCGATCGACTTTCCTCCTTCACTTTTTCCCCTCTGCCCGCGACCCGTAACGGTTTCCTGCCTGCGCGACGATGTGTCACTGGCCACGCGCGATTATTTTGACGGGCTGCTCTGCGATCGCTTCGACGGGAGACGCTCGCGAATGATCGCTTGGCCAAGTGAGTCGTTCGCGGAAGAGAGAAAAGAAAAAGAAAAACGAAGAGGATGCCGACGGTAGAATGGGCGTTCGCGGCCTCGTCGGGAACTCACTTATCACGATGAATGACATCAGATCGGCGAGGATCGCGGACTCGAATGAAAAAGCTTCCGCACTCTCGTCCGTGTCATCAATCACAATTAGCGGGTAATCCGAACGGCGGACGAGCGATCGCGGCGCTCCGGAGGTTCGATCCTCGAGAAGCCGCCGAAAAGTGAGAGCGAACGCGACGACTAGGCCGTCGATGGGGCCGCGCGACCTTCGGCAGTCCGACGCAGAGGTCACCGCGGAGGCGCGTTCTCACGCGCGCACCCGAACGCCAGGAGGACGATCGCGATCGGCTTTCCCATAGCGCGGCAGCGTCGAGAGCGATCGCCCGCGCTAAATATGCGGATGATCCGCCCCGAGGCCTCATAAATTTTCATGTTTGCTCTGCGCGCCCGAGCCCAGAAAAGCAGCCAGCCGCGAGCCAGCGCGCGATCGCCGTACGCACGGCGAACCGAGCGACGCTCTCTCGGCTGGCGCGCTCGATTTTCGCTTTCTGACTTTCGGTGAGAATCGAGCTCCGCCGGGTTGCGAGCGACGGCGCGCTCCGCCTCGCTTTCACGCTCAAATTCGATGCAGGCAGCTTCTTAAGGTATGCGCGGCTATCGAGAATGCAGACTGCCTCGGACTGCAGCGCGCGGCCGCGGCCCCGTAATTGACGTATTTTATTAGACCGAAAGCATTCATAAATAAGAACCGTTCTGCGCGCGCGTTTCTCATCCGACGCCAGCAGCGCGCAGGGAGAGGCAAAAACTAAAATAAAAAACAAATAAATAAATAAATAAACACAGCCCATTTGCGAAGACACCTGCCTCGCTTTCGCGCAATTCTCTACCCTCGCCGCGGCGGGGTATTTCAGGAAAAGTCATCGCGCGCCGCGCAATCATTACGCTCCGGCTCTCGCGCATAAAACAGCAACTCGAGCGAGAGAGATCGAGCAGAGAGAGAGAGAGAGAGAGAGAGAGAGAGAGAGAGAAGCGCACCCTCCGGTGTTTTTGCAGGAGGGTGAGCGAGTGCGCGCAAGAAGCAACAAAAGCCTTCTCGCGGGTCCTTAACCTTCCTCGGCGCGCCGCCGCGGGAAAAACCGGCTCGGGGCACGTAAACGGAAGCCAGGCTCTCGCTTGCTCGCTCGCTCGCTCGCTCGGTCGGTCGCGCGCCGGAGATGTGCTCGCGGCGCCCCGCGAATATGGGCAACGGCCAACGGTTCTCTTTCTTTTCGCCGACGCGCGCCTCGCTCTCGCTCGGCCGTTCGGCCCGAGCCGATCGCCCCGGCCGGCGCCTCGCCGAGTCTCCTTCGAGCCTCCTCGCGCTTCGTCGGCGAAACCACATATCAGCACGATATCGGCGATATCGGTATCCGATGCTCGCGCCTCTTGCGTCCGACGAGCGTCCACTTTCAGCCGATGAATCGCCGGCAAAACCCATAGCGACAACGGGTACTCACCGGAATGTGCGTTCTGTACGGCCAAGACGACGAGGACCAAGTACATCGTGAGTCCGGGTCGTCGAAGCCCGGATCTTAGCGTCGTCATGTCGCCACCTGCAATTGCAAATAGTACCATCATTATTGCTCCTCCTTGCAGACACGCAACTCGTTGCCGTCGCGTTGGGAGGAGGGTTCCGTTGAATAACCTTATATCGTTGCGCAGTTCGATTGATCGTACACTCGGTGATTGTAAAAGATAGAAGGATTATTTAAACCTGTTCTCTTTGAGCGAAGCCGTGTATTCGAGCGATTGTCGCGTGCTTAGCGCGGACGATCGGAAGGATCATTGGATAGCTGTTGCTCGCGCCATTATCCGCTATGGCAATGGCGCTTTTATCACCCGAGCTGTCGGCGAAAGCATCCATAAAGCCGTTGAAAATTCTATCAGCGCGCGCGCGCATAATTAGTCGCTCGCTCGCGCGCCCGAGGAATCTTGCCCGGCACGAGGATAAACATCGCTAGCGAATGCCTCAATTAACGAAACAGGCACAATTGCGAAAATGCCATTGTTACGGCTAATTACACGAGCGGCAACACCGAATAATCGAAGAAGGGGCAGCAAAAAGAAGCCGCAAAAAAGAAAAAGAACAAGTCTCACGGCGAATTCCACCAAAGCGAAAGGCGCTAAAGGCAAGCACGCAATAAATCTCCTTCTCGAGCCGGTGCTGCGAGAGTCGAGAGAGAGAGAGAGAGAGAGAGAGAGAGAGAGAGAGAGAGAGAGAGAGAAAGAGAGAGAAAATCAAAGAAACTTTTACGCGATTTATAAATGGGTGTCGCTTTAAAGCAATGAATTATCGTCGCATATCGCGTCCATTCAACCTTCTCTCTCTCTCTCTCTCTCGCGCGCGCTCATTCTCGTCAATTCTTTGTTACGCGTGGGAGCTTGGAGACGTTATATGCACCGTTAAAGACGCGCGCTCGTGTAAGTGATCATACTCCGCAATCGAAGAAAGAAGAAAAAAAAAAAAACACCCGCACACCTTCGATACGAGCCGGAGCGCATCGAGCGGTGGAGATAGCGCGGCATCGCCGGTCGGCAATGGGCCACGAGGGCACGCGCGCGCAACAGATCATCGCTGCATCGGCGCGCTCGTGCACACGCCTCTGTGCGCGCATGTAGCGAAGCGCGACCGTTTTTCCGCGATTGTTCCGCGATGCTCCCTTTGTGGCGTGTCTCATGGGAATCGAGCGCCTCGTTATCGCTCCGCCAAACCGAGCCAAGAGCGAGCTTCGCAGGCCTTTCATACCCGACTCTCCGGTGGAGCTTTATTAAAAACGAATTATATAGCCCTCCCGTGTACCGTTGTCCCTCCGTACGTTCGCGCATGCGATATCCAGCTTCGGCTTGATGGTGCTTTACGGTGCAACGTGACTTGGATCGCGGAGCGCGATACGTTACGCCGATTCTCGCTTTTTTTTCACTCGGCGACTCGCTTGACTCGCGCGTCGCGCCACAATGAACAATCGAAAGATCGGCGCGCGAGCCGACGTCGTCGTCGTCGTCGTCGTCGATAGGGGCGGCCGGACGAGCGCGACAAACGGGACGCGTGCCGGGCAACGGCACGAATAAGGCTCGATCCCGTCGTCGCGCCGTCGTCGCTGGAACGCGGAACGCCATTCGCTCATCCTCGCCGCGACCTTGCCAACTCGGCCGGTAGCGGCCGAAAATCCGACGTGCGAGCGGCAGCGGCCTGCGGACGCAAGCCCTCCGCCGTGCGCGCGCGATCGAGCGGAAGATAATTGACATCTAACGGAGAGCGGGCTCGTTATGCGGCCTTTGCATATTCCCCTTGGTGCGGCGCGCCGTGGCGTCTCGTGGGAAAATTGATGCCCGCGGCCTCGCGCCGTCCTTTCCGTTTTGATTGAATGCGCGGCGCCTTTCCGAAACTCTCATTACGTCGATTGCCGATGCGCGGCTAGGAGCGCTGGGCGGCGGGAGGGGGGGGGGGGGGGGGGGTACCGGCTAACACGTACGCGCCATTAGTTTCCGCGCGCGAGCATGCGCAAGACTTGGGTCGTCGAGTTGTGCGCGCGCGAAAATCATTAGCCCGCGCGATCCCACGGCTGCCGGCGTTGCACGATAATTACGTCAATTAGCACCCGTGCCGCGAGTGCCGGGAGCGTGCCCGCGCACCCGCATTTCGTTCTGGCAAGCGGCGCAGCCTCGAGCTCGTCGTTCTCGCGGGGCACCACGGGCACGAGGGCGCAAACGGCGATGCACGCCGCGGAAATCGCGGCGCTACTAGGCGTTCGTTGCACCGCGGTCACCTGCGAGGAATCGGCGCGCTTGCATATGCCAAGGCCAATCCACGTATCAACGCCGGCGCCCTGGCAACTAGCGCGTAAAGCAAGCAGTCCGGGCTCTGATCGCTCAATTAAAGCGTAACGGGTTGCGCGCGCTCGACGGTTTCGCTCGTATGCCGGGAGGTGCAGTATGCGTTACGTATCCGTTTCGGCGGCGACAGCCGGCGACCGATCAATAATGAACCGCTGATCGGCGCTGCTGTTGCGCGAGAAACAAGCCGGCGCTGCATTTATCTCGGATAAGCATCTCGCGAGCGTCGTAGCGCTGTGTGCGTGCGCGCGCGTGTGCGAGACGCTGGCCCCGTATACGCCACGGGGCTGATGTAGCGCGTGCGTGTCGCGGATAGCAGACGACCAATCGATTGAATTCGCATCGAGGAAAGGACAAGAAGCTAGTGGCTGTTTTTCGAGCCGACGGCGATATGGCCACTTCCAGATAGGATACGTGCGACGAAAACACACCGCATGCTCCCGCGTGTCTCATTAGTATCGCACACGCTGCTCGAATCGTTATTTGCTCTCTTGGGAGAGAGAGAGAGAGAGAGAGAGAGACGAGCATCGCGGAAGTGCCAATTAGGAGTATTAGACCAGAAGACGATGCAACTCTACTTCATTATCCTAGAGCGACTCGAGCGCGCGGCCTTCGCCCTCTGTGTGTGTGTCTCTCTCTCTCTCTCTCTCTCTATCTCTCTCTCTCTCCTTCTTTCTCTCTATCGTACAGTGCCCCGCGATACTTTACTTCCTTTTGTTTGAAGCCGCTTTGTTGCCGACTTCAATGCCTCTAAAGCGCGCTTTTGTTCTTCTGCTTCTCGGCAATTCGTTCTATGACCCTGTTTGATTTTCGCCCGATGCATTGTTCATACTTGCTTGCAATAGAACCGAAAACTTGATAATTTCTTAATAGTATCAGTACTGTTTGCAACTTCGCTTTATTCCAAATGTTGACGTTTGATTTATGGCACGATACAGCCGCAGTTAGTCGAATACACGTGCATATAAGCTTCTGACGCTTAATAGAATTCAAATGACGACAACTCTCATTTAGCAGCAATGCCGCCGGCAGCAATACGCGCCAGCGTCACTGATCTTTAGTTGTCTTGAGAAGAAAAACTAAAACGCCAGTCGATAATCGTTCAATGAAAATGCAAATGACAAACGGCAGTCCATAAATATTCGCAGTCCAAGCTTTTCATCGGCCGAGTGAGAAATACGACGTACCTCCGCGGCGTGCTCGCGCAGCCAATTAATCACTCGATGGGAAGGGTTATTAACAGCGCGATTAGCGCTTTTTACGATTGCATATAGTACGCCGCGAGCAGCGGCGTCGTAAACTCAGCAATCTCGCGTGCGCGGCCGCGCGATAAATAAGCGCGCGCGTCGCGAGCCAGCCAGTGCATAAATAAGCCGATCGCCGGCGCGGCCTCACGCCGAATCCGAGGAACAGAGGCGCGGCAAGGTGCGCGACTCGTCCTTCGGAGGGCCGCGTGGCGCTTATCCGCCGCGGAGCACCTGCTCTCCGGGACGCGCGCGCGAGATAACGCGCCCTTTTTCTCGCCTCATCTTTTTCTTCTTCCTCCCCTCGCATGTGCGCGCGCGCGCGCGCGCGCGCGTTTGTTCCACGCCGTTCGCAATAGCGCAGTTTGCGCGAGCACGCGCATTCGCGGAAACGTGCGCAGGCCAATACTCGACTCGGGTCGGTTGTAGCCTTTCCTCGAAACGCGCGCATTTTATAGATTCTAAATAAACTTACGTGAGCGGCGTGCTCGTGCGCACGGCGATGTAGGTCGTTACACTTTTTGACAAGGAACGCTCACCTGCAACGGCAAGAAAAACGAGTCTCGATTAGTTACGTATTCACGAGGGCACAATTCGTTTTATCATGGTAACGAGGCGTCGAGCGAAACGCGTGTAACCGTACCGCTCGCTCCCGGCTCGGAGGAAAGGGACTTTTATCTCTCCCTCCCACGTCCTCGAAACGAGGAAAACGCATCCGCGGTGCCGGGGCCAAGTGAAAATGGAGGTAACGTTATTTCGTGCGCGCGAGAGCGATGCGCGCCGGCAGCGCTGCCCACGCGGAAAAGTAATCCAAGGCGCGACGGCCGATTTTGCCACTTGCCGCAGCCGGTGCACCGGGTTGCACGGCGTCTCTACTGGAATGGGCGTTCCGCGCTCTTGCGCCTTTTATCTCTTCCTCGCGCGCATTCCACGGCTGAAATTCGGGCCCGGCGCTCGCGCGCGCACGCACGCGTCGTGTTTGCCGAGAGAGCCGGCGGAGTGGCATTGTCGCGTTTCTCTGTCTTTCTTCCACCCCTCCCAAAAAAAAAAAGACCAGTCAGCCGTCGGTAGACTTTAGCTATAAATCATACATAAAGCGATAAATCAAGCTCGAATTAATTGCCGCGTTGAGAGGGTATTACACAAACGAAAGCGAAAGCGGTCTTGATATACACATCCATTGAATATTTATCTCGGATCGTTGATATACATTTATCATACTCGAGGGCAAGATAGGCTTATTGCCTGGAATAAATCTTCGCTGGATCTTCCCCTCCTACATATCAACGAGATAATCACGCACCTGCCCAATTGACGTTTATATTACCGACAGAGTGGAAGATAGGGCAGAAAAGAAGAGTATAGCCTTCTTCGCTCACGGCAGATGTAGATAAAGCATGGCTCCGGGCGGGTCAAGAGATCGTCGCTCCTCTTATTGGTTTGTTTGTTTTTTTTTTCTTTCTTCCTTCTCTTCG